TTCCTTCCTTCCTTCCTTCCTTCCTTCCTTCCTTCCTTCCTTCCTTCTTTTCTTTCTTTCTTATTTTATGTGCATTGGTGTTTTGCCTGCATGTATGTCTATGTGAGGGTGTCAGATCTTGGAGTTACAGATAGTTGTGAGTTTCCATGTGGGTGCTGGGATTTGAATCTGGGTCCTCTGGAGTACTCAGTGCTCTTTACCGATGAGCCATCTCTCCAGCCACCCCTTCCTTCCTAATAAATCTTAAAAAAAAAAAAAAATCTTGGTGTGGTGGCACATGCTTTACCAATACTCTGGAGCCTGAGGCAGGCAGATCTCTGAGTTCCAGGCCAGCCTGGTCTACATAGTGAGTTCCAGGACAGCCAGGGCTACTCTGTCTCAAATAAACAACCCTCCCCCAATAAAAACAACAAAAACAAAAGCAAAAACCCACACAAAAAAAAAAAAAAAAAAAAGAATAAAAAATTCAAACAAAAGTAAATGAGACATTTTGTGCTATCATACTAAATTCTATCTCTCCCTCCTCTTTCAAGGACAAGAATCCCTGAGTACTCCTATGGTGTGCCTGGCACCTAGCGCATACTTTGAGTGTGCAGCTGCCGTGACTTTATTATAATCCCAACAAATTCAGGAAGCAAAGGTGGGAGAACGGTAAATTTGAGGGGAGCCTGAGACCGGTTTAGATTTTGGGGGAGAAACTAGATACAGGACGCGTTTTGAGGAGAGTAGGATTCTTGGAAGACAAGTTGTGGATGGGAGGTGGAAGGGAGGGGATTTTCTCTGTGAAAAGTTGGAGGGGGAATGAGGATCTGGCATGCTGCTGAGCCAAGGGACACTGGCAACTCCATCCAGAGCCAGGATGCCTGGGCGAAGTGACTCAGCGTGGTTTGACCGCTGTGGGGCGCCGTAGCCCGCGCTGTTGCCAGGGGAACGGGCCCCGCGCCGGGCAAGGCCCAGCCTGCCTTGGCCTGGCAGGGCTGCACAAGCAGCCGGTCCGAACTAAGGCGGAAGGACTCTGAGGCCCAGCCTCCGTCCGGGATGGAGCCACGGTCCGGGACGCGTCTCCTCTGTGTCCGGGGGGCTGACTGTGCCCGGACGGTCTGAAGTGCGGCCGCCCTGGGGAGGGTGGACGGGCAGGGCGGGGCCGAGCCGCTGGCTGACCTTGGCAGGCCGCATTTGGCGCGGCCGCCACCACGCGCAGGTGAGGAGCAGCCGTGGCGTTTCTCACCTTCGAGCTTGGCCGGAGCCTCGGGCTCGCGCTGCGCCGGTGCCTGGCGGGATTGCGGGCGCGACTCGGCCTGCTGGGTTTCACCGACCTAGTGGAGCGCGGGGCTTCCTTTTCTCATCACTCAGGGCTATAGGTCTGCACTGGGCGCTCACCGAGTGCCAGGCTGTGTGCCAGAAGGCCTCAGAACAGACGCCTTCAGCCTCCAGAACCCGCAGAGAATTAAAGAGGGGATGGGGAGCAGGCGCCAGGCACGTGACTAGAGTGATTTCAGGTCGCATTAAGTGCTCTGGTGGGCCCTAGAGGTGACTTTTAAGCTAAAACGTGGGGGTTGGAAAGGAGCTGATTGTGAGTAGGGAAAGGGTGTTTCTGAAAGAGGGAAAGGCAAACACAAAAGCCCTGGCAACAGAAAGTACTGGTTAGGTACAGAAAATGTGAGGGCAGTTCCTAAAGTTCGTGGTGAGGGGTTTCCAACTTTTATCCCAGAAAGTGAAGGGAGTCTTTGATGAGTTCCAAGTTTTCAAAAGGGCTTTGTACTCTGGCTGCTGAGCAGAAATTAATTGAAGATGACCATAGTTCCACCAGTGTAGGCGAGCCTCCTGGAACCCACAAGTTTCTCCCTGCCCTCATCTGTGCACAGGGAACGCTGTTGTTTTGTTTTGAAGACAAAGTGAGGGATCCACGTCTGAGATCAAGGACTAAGAACAGTTTGAAATAACAGGACTACCTCAGAGGGTTTGAATTAAGTGAATTCTGTGGAAGCCCTTCAAGGAGGGCCTGGCCTACAATCAGTGCCTTCTAAGTGGCAGTCATGGCTGTTATCTTGGAAACACCGTAAGGGAACAATGATGGTTAGGGCAGTGGGTGGCTTCCCTTACCGAGGGAGAGAGAGGTTAGAAGAGAAGAGAGTGGTCACTTGTTTTGTGGAACTGGTGTTTTGCTGTGGGAGACCAGCTATATACAGATAATCACCATGAGCTGCAATAAAAGCAACAGTGGTGTTTAATTAGCCCAATTTTTTTTCCTATTGTTTTTGTTACTTTGTTCTGTCACACTTTGTTCTTAATGACTTTCTTGATGGGTGTTGCCTAAGGCTGGGTTCCTACAATTTCTAGTTGATTTCCTGGTTAAAAAAAAAAAAACGAGCAACCCTTGCCTCCTTTCCTTGATTTTGTTTCTGTTCCCTCTTATTCTTTGTTTCTTTTCCTGAACTTGTATCCCAGAGTTTGTGGCGGCTGTTGGCAAGAGGGTAATGATACAGAAATGTTTGCACACCATGTCAACTCAGGAATGATTTCAAGTCTTTCTTGCTATAGCAACTGACCTCAGCATATTGTTTATGAGAAAGTAAAGGCCCAGCCGCATTATTTGAGACCAAAGACCAGAGAGGCCTTTGAGAACAGCTTTAAGTTCTAGCTTATTTTCTGGAAATGATGTGATACGTATCCCTTCGTTGAACTATAGCCACATCTCAGAATGTTTAAGACCACAGATTTTCCTGGCACCTGTGGGGAGTTTTAATAAACACCGTACTTGTCCGTAGAAGTGTTTTATAAATGACTCTTTGCACTGTAAACCAATGTGCTCTGCAAAGCATTTTTTTCCTCAGGCTCCCCTTTATGTGGTCTACATTGAGGCATGTTAGATCTCAGTGAAAATTATTTTAGAAGCGGATTCTGGGGAAAGGCTGAAAATGATTTAGAATTACTCAGAGGAATCTCTCCAGGAAACAGTAAAACCTGTAGGAGGAAGGAGAGCTGTTTAGGGTGCATCTTTCCTGTGGCGTGCACCTTGCCCATGTTCTGGGGCCACAGGGCACTAACCAGCTTCTGGTCAAGGCCTAGACCAGTGTCTTGCTCAGCAGCTCTGTTATATGCCTGATAACTGTTTCCATCTTTGACAAGACCCCTAACAATATGAGGAAGCTCTGTGGTGCTTCCTTGCAGTGCTGAGTGGCTCAGAATTGCCTTCTAGGGTAAGAAAGCACTTTAGCAAGTCCTCTTATCAAACGGTTGTTAGGCAGGAATTCCTGGTTTTTCTGGCCTGGTATAAACCTCAAGCTCACACAAGTTCGTTTGGTTCACATGGCAGCACAGTGGGTTGGGGTGTGCTGGTGGTGACATCCTTTCAACTGTTTATTTGATGTGAGTGTGTGTGTGTGTGTTGTTGGGGCTTAAATGCAGGCCTTCCTTTCCACAGAGCTATCCTACTTCCCTTATTTTTTTACATTTTTAAATTTTCTTTGAGACAGGGTCTCACCTTGTGACTCTGGCTACCCCGGAACTTACCATGTAGATCAGGCTGCCCTGGAATTCACAGAGATCTGCCCACCTCTGAGTGCTGTTATTAAAGTGTGCACTACCATGCCCAGCTACTGTATCTTTTTAAACAGTAAATGATTTTTTAAAAAAATTTGAATAATACCAACAAAGAAACAAATGGTACCAGATCTTCATATAAATTGCCCCTCATTGGGTTCTGCCATTTTCTTCCCAGAGTAATCTGTATCTGTAGAAACATAGATATCTGTCTGTCCCTTCTGGGTGTTTGTTTTGACATAATCTTTGTTTTGTAACCCAGGCTGAGCCTGGAACTTGCAGCCCTCCAGCCTTAGCCTCCCAAATAGTGATGGTCTTTTTAAAAATATATTTTTTTTAAAGTGTTCGTTTTGGTATGTGTCTACTGTCACATAGACGGAGGGTGCTGCATCACTTGGAGCTGGAATTACAGGTGATTCTGAGCCATCTGGTGTGGGTGCTGGGAACCGAAATCTGATCCTCTGTAAGAGCAGCAAATGCTCAGCTGCTGAGCCATCTCTCTAGCCCCCAGCCTTGATGTTCATTTATTTGATAGCTCACTCTACAATTTTGTGTCTTGTTTGGTCACGTAATTTTATCTTAAGAGTAATGTCATCCCTTGCTTTTGATGCTGCATAGTACTCCCTTGTATGTATATACCATGGCATGTTTATATTTGTCTTTGTTGTTTATTTTTACAAGGAATAAGGTAGTGAACTTCTGTGTGTTAGGAGAGTGTAAGATAAATAAAGAAATGAAATGTCTGAGCCACAAATTAAATGTGTCCTCAGGTTTGGTAGACACTGCCAAATTGCCTTCTGGCTAACTTTTGAAACATGAGTAAAGAGGACACCCAAAGCAGTGGGCTTTTGAAATTTGCCCCCAGCTTCCTTCAACTATGAACAGCAGTGCAAGAGCCAGAAGAAGGCTCTGTCTTCAGACATCCTCGGTTCCTGTTTCCAACCTCTCTTTCCATTTATAGCTTAGATCCTTGAGCCCTTTAAGCCTCCATTTCGCCTTTTTTTTTTTTTTTTTTTTTTTTTTTTTTTTAGATATGGTCTCATTACCTAACCCCGGCCATCCTGGAACTGAGTATGTAGACCATGCTGGCCTTGAATTCACAGAGATCTGCCTTCCTCTGCCTCCTGAGTGCTGCGATTACCTGCCACCAAACTTCATGTTACTTTTTTATCTGACCCAAGCAACTTACCATTCCAGTTTTTTGGTCTCCTCTGACATCCCTCTTTCTTAGTTGATTCTGAAGTCCTCAGATATCTTCCAGGAACCCAGGGTTGCCCACAGGCTCTCCAGGGCCAGAACTTTGCACTTCAAATTCATCTCAGGCATGAATTTCAGAACAACATTTTGAATTTATTGCCGCTATTCTATTCTATTGTTAGTATTATTTGAGCTAGGAGCTTAGCTTCTTGCTGTCTTGCCCAAGTCGGCTTTGAACTCCTGGGCCGACTGATCTTCTGCTTTAGCCTAAATTTGTGTGTGTGTGGTTGGCAGGAAAAAGATCAGTAGTGAAGCTGTTAATACCATTTGTTGTGAGAACTCAAAATGTTAACATTTTCTTCTTTTTTCTTGGCCATTATGAGATAGGCTCTCAGTGTGCGTTGGCTGGCTTGTGATTTGCTATTTAGAACAAGGTTGGCTTCAAACCCGGAGTTTCACCTGCTTCCCCTCCAGAGTTCTGTGATTCGAGTCATTCACCACCACTCCAGGCTAAGATTTTCTTCATTTAAGCATATAAATCAAAGAAGCCTAATTTTATTTTGAAAATGTTATTTAAAGCTTTTGGCAAGTGAATGTTAAATAGGTGAGATTGTTGTCTTACTGTCAAGGGCTTTCACCTTGCCGGGACAAGGGAGGGGCCTGCATAGCCCTTTCAGTCTTCCACAGATGTCAAACAAGTCCTTGACTTAGGTGGCAGATATGGTGCCTCTGACAGTCTGTGCGCCTCTTTGCCCTTCTCCCTCACCCTCACCAGCATCTGAATGTTTTGTCCTTCGTGTGCAGAGGGCATGTGAAGGTTATTTTACCAGGGTCTGTGTACCACTCAGCCCACTGTACATGCACTGGGGCCACTGCGGGGCAAAGAGGGGCTGTGCCCCTCACCTTGACCCTCTGTACAGGGCTGCTGGGCCACCTCCCTCCTGGGCCAGCCTCCTGGGGTGTTCCCTCATCCCATGTCCTTTCTGGTCTTGTTTATACCCTTCTTCTCTACTGAAATTTGAACTCAAGGTTGTTTGTCACACTCTGCTTTGAAATTCCTCTGACTCCCTATGGTATCTTGAGCAGTGCCCAGAGCATCTCACCTAGGCTTATGTGATCTCAGTTCTGCAACCACTAACGGTTCATCTCTCACCACTTCCTGGCATATTCTATCTGAATGACTATCCCTTGCAAAGCGCTGCCCAGATACTCATGTACCCACTGTTCCGAAGTTGCTTTTTGTCTCTTTGGGCCTCAGAAAGGAAAGTTGGAAGGGGCAAGTACCTGTTTATACTTTCAGTGCGCACAGGGCTGGGCCCAGTCAGCTTGCATGGCCAAGGTCTGAGTGCACCATCTGGTCATGCTTCAGGGTAGAAGAGCCACATATCTTTCAATTTGGACTCCCAGAGTGCTGTTGAAAGGGAAGGAACAGCCAGAGAAAGTCCCAAGCCTGATGACAATACTTGGTCTCATTTGTGGGCCCCATTTTGGATTTGTTCCAACCTTCCCGCCCTTGAAATGAAAATCTTTTGGGCCAAAAAGAATTTGTGGCCTTCGATGCAGTGATAGAAAATATTGTCAAGTTCAGAGTTGGCTCTCTCAAGGTTTGGGGGCAGGCACCATCCTCCTGGCTGTCCTCTGTGTCTGTTCCTGAGTGTTGCTGCTGCTTCGAAGGAGTTCATCCCTTCATCTGAAGTCTTAGGCAGGTGGCGCCTCCTGGAGCCTCACTTGGAGTCAGTACTACCCCAGGACTGTTTGCAGCAAGCCTCTGCCTTGGGGTGGTGATTCCTCCTGCCTCAGGATTCTGGGGTAATTTAACATGAGGGATGCCTGTGGACCCTGTCAAGTACTAGGAACATATCAGCCACATGCCTCTGTTTCTCTCTTGAGAAACTCCCTCAAGGTACAGGGCTTTTCAGTTGTGGGGTTGACAAAGCCAAGACCAGGCTTTGGGATTAAATTCATACCTTCAGAGTGCTTGCCTAGCTGGGATATAGCCCAGGGAAATGGTGCTTATTTAATGTATGCAAGGCCCTAGGTTCAGTACCAGACTGTTTGCCCAGATGGTGGAGGTTCTGAGCCCATGTGCAGTTCATAGATACCTGTCTCAGAGAACTACAGGGTTTGACCTGATCACCTTTGCTTATTTCCACAAACCAGGGACAAAGATTTGCTCACTTGGGGATGTTCCAAAGAAAAATTAGTCAGTTTTTTATTTCCTTGTCACCTTTGGTCTAAATTTGAATCCCAAGCCTGACTTGCCCATTTTCTATCACCATGACTGAATGGCCCTGGACCTTGAGGCAGTTTCTAAAGAAAGAAACAGAGACACGTGGCTGGTAACTCTTTATTTTTGGTAGTGTCCATAGGCATCTCTAGGTGACAAGATCAGAATGTCAATCCAAGACTGGGGGCATATTCTTGAAATCTAAAGGCTGTCCTGGTCTACACATCAAGTTGAGATACATGAAAAATCTCTTAATCAGATTATCTAATCTCTTCAACTAAATTAAAAGGAAAAATAGAGCTAGAGCACCTGTATGTCAAAATACTTGAGCTGCACCTGTTGGCTCATACTTGCAATCTCAGCTCTAAAGGGGATGAGGCAGGGGTTTGCCAAAGGGTTGAGCTAATCTGGGCTACATAATGAGCTTTAGGGTGGTCATGGCTGTGGAGTGAGACTCTTATTTATTTATTCTGAATGGCAGTGTGTTTCTTCTTTGGGGCTGCCCACTTAGGAAAGCAACTTTAGGAGCCAGAGGGATCAAGGACACCACAAGAAAACCTACAGAATCAACTAACCTGGGCTCATAGGGGCTTACAGAGACTGAACCACCAACCAGAGAGCATGTCTGGGACTGACCGAGGCCCTCTGCATTTATGCTACAGTTGTGTAGCTTGGTCTTTTTGTAGGGCTCCTAACAGTGGGAGCACGGGCTGTCTTTTACTCTTTTGCTGGTTTGGGGGACCTTTTTCCTTATACTGGGTTGCCTCATCCAGCCTTCATACTAGAGGAGAAGCCTAGTCTTACTGCAACTTTATATGCCAAGTTTGATTGATATCCATGGGAGGCCTACCCTTTTCTGAAGAGAAACAGGAGGAGTGGATGGGGGTAGGTGGTCAGAGGGAGGTTGGGGAGGGAATGGGAAGAGAAGAGGGAGGGGAAACTGGTCCAGTATTTAAAAAAATAAAAATAAAAAGCACCCAGCTTCAGCACTGTGTTCACCGAGTAGTGGTGGCATTCACCTTTAACCCAGCACGTGAGAGGCAGAGGCAGGAGCATCTCTGTGAGTTCGAGGCCAGTCTGGTCTAGAGGGAGTTCCAGGGCAATCAAAGCTACAAAAGAGAAACCCTGTCTCAAAACAAAAACAAACAACCACACGCACACACACGCACATGCACACGCACAAAATACAGAACAGAACTGTGTTCACAATCAGGCTATAACTACTCTCCAATGCCTAGCTTTCCAGAGTCCAGTGGACGGAGAAGCAGATATGATCTCTATGCCATCCATGGCTTGAGCAAAGCAGACTGCTTGCAAATCAAACGCTTTTGGAGGTACAGCACCCAGGAAACTGGCTACGAAAGGCACTTGGAAGAATGCACCCTCCACTTGGGGGGTAAAGAAACCTATTTAAAGGTCTCTTACTGTAGCAGTTAGTGAAGTTAGATGCTATCACTGAAGTGTTTGTTGAATTTTTTTTTTTTCAAACTCCCCTTCCAGCATCTGTTATGAGAAATTGCTAAACACTTTAAAACATGGGCCAGCAAGATTGCTCAGTGGGTAAAAGCACTTGCTGCCAAGCCTGACAACCTGAGTTCGGGCTCCAAGACCCACATGGTAGAAGGCGAGAACAGACTCTTTTTTTTTTTTTTTTTGTTCCTAAATTTTATTTATGAATTAATACAAAACATTCCAGACCAATGTGTCTTAATCCTCCTCCTCCTCCTCCTCTTCATCCTGGTTAATCTGGAAGTAACGCAATTCATAACTCTCTTTGCTGTTGGCGACAGCATGCAACCAGTCTCGAAGATTGTTCTTCTTCAAATATTTTTTGGTGAGATATTTCAAATACCTTTTGGAAAAAGGCACCTCAGAGGTGACAGTGATCTTGCTCTTGCTCCGTTCGATGGTCACAACCCCTCCGCCAAGATTCCCAGCTTTCCCATTCACCTTGATTCTCTCCTGGAGGAACTGCTCAAAATTGGCAGCGTCCATGATTCCATCTTCTACAGGATGGGTGCAGTCAAGGGTGAACTTTAAAACCTGCTTCTTTTTTTTTGCCCCCCTTCGCCACAAGCTTTTTCACTGGCGCCATGGCGGCAGAGGAGGCAGAAAGGGGAGAACAGACTCTTCTAACACAGAAACACACACACACGCGCACGCACATGGACACTCCGCACACATGCATCACACGTAAAAGGAAAAAAGACTTCAAAAGAGACCTGTGATGCCAGAGCGTGCTGTTGGTGCTGTATAGGAGACAAGCGAGGCTTATGTCATTGAGATTCTTGAGGACCGTGGCTGTGTACTACCCCATGCCAAACATTTATCGATCATGTTAAGCTTGCACATATGTGAAGAACATGCTTAAGAATCACTATGGGGCTCGAGTTGGTAAAGCGCTTGCCTTCCAAGCATGTGGCCTGAGTTGGATCTCCAGAGCCCATGGAAAAAGCCAGGCATGGTGGCCTGTATTTATAATCCCAGTGCTAGGAGGAGAGCCAGGTGGATATCTAGGTCTCACTGGCTAGCCAGCCTTGGCTACTTGTTGAACTCCAGGCCAGTGAGACACCCTGTCCCCCCCCCAAAAAAAAAAGAAAAGGCAGAGAGATGGTTCAGTTGTTAATAGCACTGACTGCTCTTCCAAAGGAACCAAGTTCAGTTCCCAGCTCACAACTTTATTTCAGGGAATCCTTTGTCCTGTATGGATATACATATAGTTAGAATGTACATAAATATAAAAATAAATGCTTTAAAAATCATTTTTATGTCTGTGGATGTATGTTTGTGTACCATGTGCATGCTTGTTGCCCGTGGAGGCTAGAAGAGGGTGTCATATCCCCTGGAAGTAGAGATAGAATAGCTCACTAGGTTGCTACTCCAAAGGACCCAGATTTAACTGCCAGCATCCACATGTTGACTCACATTCCTGGCAGAGAGATGGCTCAGTAGTTGAGAGTATTGCTTCTCTTGGGGGTGTTGATTCTCAGAAGGCCCACCACCTGGCTCATGCCTGCCTGTAACTCTGGTTCCAGGCATCTGCTGCTGCTTCTGGCCTCTGGGAACATGTGCTCATGCACACATGCACACTCACCTGCTGTAAATAAAGAAGCAGAAAAGTGAAGAAGGGTGGATGGCACCAAAGCAGTGACACCACACTCATCCGCTGGCCTCCACACTCATGCCTACACGTACCGCCCCCCCCCCCATGCACTAACATACGTGGACATGCACTCACAAATGGATGCCCATATACATAGAAAAATCTATTATGACGGAAAGTATTTCATTCTCTATTTTTTCTTTGCAGCTGGGTGTGGTGGCACATGCCTGTATCCCTAGCACCGAGGAGGAAGAGGTAGGAGATCAAGACCAGCTATGGCTACATAGTGAGTAAGAACTTGCCTCAAAACAATTTTTTCTTTTCCTGTTATTGATAGTTCTGAATGTTAGATTTTTTTTTTCTTCCACAAGATCAAAATGTATCAAAATATATGATTTTGACCAGGCATAATGGCACATACCTTAAATCCCAGCACTTGGGAGGAAGAGGAACCTCTGTGAGTTCAAAGCCAGTCTAATCTACACGGCAAATTTCAGGACAGCCAAGACCGCATAGAGAGACCTTGTCTCAGAAAAAATAAAATATGTGTATGATTGTGAGTGAAAAAAATAGTGGTGAGAAATCAGGCATTGGTCTTTTTTCCCATTGTGTGTGTGAATTTTTTCCTGAGACATACTGGCTGTCCTGGAACTCACCATGTAGACCATTGTGGCCTTGAACTCAGAGATCCACCTGCCTCTGCCTCCTTAGTGCTGAAATTTAAAGGTGTGTGTACCACATCTGGCATGTGTGTGGATTTTAAATATACAAAGATATAAAGCATTAATGCAAGTCAAATTACTCTGGTCAAGTTTTAGTAGTTTAGCTTTATAACAGTCATGGATAAACCTGCTAAATTCCGGGTAATAGTGTTTGGAATTAAAAATATAAACATTTTTGAGGGCAACCAGATGGTTTTCATATCATTTTTATCATATGGTGGATCAGAATCAGTGTATTTTTCTGAGTTGTCCTCCATGCAAGTGTGCGCGTGTGTCTGTGTGCACGCATGTATATGTGCACATGTGCTAAATCTCAGGCCTCACATATGCTATACAAGTTCTTTATCACTGAGCTCCATCTCCAGCCTTCAAATATGTGTCTAAATACACCTGTCTTCTTGTTCCTGTAAAATGCAAAAGCAACCTCAGCCAGTCCTATCATTTTGGACATAGACCTTATGGACTATTAGACATAGTAGCTGTGGCCTAGATATAGGAGACAAACTAGAGAGCTCTTTGAAATAATTACACTTACCATGTAGTGAGCATTTAATTGTAGGATTTGCCTGTAGTCTCATTGATCTACTCACCCTAGGAGGCATCCACACCCCTATTTGTCAGAGGAGGAAGTCCAGTCCTCTCAACTAATAAGCGCAAAGCCAAAAGCCAAACCTAGAACTGTGTTCTTCAAAGCCAGGGAATGTCTAATCCTGTGTACTTGTTATTGATGATGGGGTAACTGATTAGGGGACTTGACCTAAGTGTTGGAAGAAAATGAAGGTCATTCCATTTAGCTTTGAGATGAGACCATTTAGAGATGACTTCACATGCTGCCAAGGCTGGCCTACAGGATTCCCTAAGCCTTAGGAGGGCTGAAGGAAAGTGTGGATATGAATGTCCAGCAGTCAGGGTAACAGCCAGTTGGCAGAGGAATTGGGGGTAAAGGCTGTGTGTGCCACTGAGTAAATGTTATGGCCACGTGAAAGGGGTGAGGTAGGATTGAAGGCAGAGCAGAGCAGGCCGACTGGCCATGTAATAGTTCCATTTGCGAAAGGTACAGACAACCATGCTAATTAAGCCAATTAAGAATATTAGAGTCTTTTAACTTTGGTTGGCAACAAAGAGATGGTTCATGCCTCAAAGTGTCTTGGTGCTGAAGCTTGGGGTACAGTGTTTTTTAATGGCAAAACCCACAAAAGCCCCACAATTACATCAACATTAGATGAGGGTCAGAGTAACCGTGCAACATTTGTTTAAGCAGAGCAGTAGTTACTTCAGACATAACACGACAATTTATTTAACTTATACCTTCAGGTTTTTTAGTTTAAGTTTGTATAAATATTAATTTGCTTAATACATCTGGACTGTGGTCAGGGTCACGGAAATCCCAAGTGCATTGCTAAGGCAGATGTGACTCTTGGGTGGATAGAGGGCTAATAACTGTCTAAGCAACCACAAAATAGAATCAGGACAATATGGTGTTACCTTCATTATTTTAGCCTTGGTTGGACAGGATTATACATCGGTTATCTTATACATGTTTGCTTTTGTTTCAGATGTTTTCAAGTCAGCGAACATTCACTGAGTATCTACTATATACAAGGTATAGCTCCTGATCCTTGGGGGAGGAGACATGGGTGACAGAGGTGAATGAATTACAGCATGTTCACTGTCTTTTTTTTTTTTTTTAAAGACACTTAAAAAAAAGATTTATTTATTTATTATGTATACATTGTTCTATACTGCATGTTTGCATGCAGGCCAGAAGAGGGCACTAGATCTCATTGTAGATGGATATGAGCCACCATGCCATTGCTGGGAATTGAACTCAGGACCTCTCAGCCAGTGCTCTTAACCTCTGAGCCATCTCTCCAGCTCACATGTTCACTGTCTTTGAGGGAAGCTAGTGTAGCAAAGTGGTAGACATGGGGATGGCAGAGTACTCCAAATTGTAGCCACAGTCCCAATAAGGACTGAGCACAAGGGTCCTTGACTCTGTTTGGGACCCCAGAGAAATACATCTTCCTGTATCAGCTGATGCTTTTAGGGGGTGGGGATGACCCAGGTAGTTTGTGGTATGAGGCATTAGTTACTCCGAGTACCTGAGGTGTCTTTTGCTTAGTCAGTTTATTATCTACTTTTGCATGGCTTCAATGACAGGATCTGACAGAATCAATCCAAGGAAGCAAAGATTTATTCTCATTGCATGGTAGTGGAAGCTGTTTATATCATAGCAGAGCAGGTGGTAGAGAGCAAGGCAAGGATAACACCCTGGAGCCCATCCCCAGTGACCTACTTTCTTTAATTAGGCCTACCTCTCAAAGTTTCCAGAAGCTCTTCAAAACAGCACCTCTAGCTAGGTATCAAACGTTCACAACATGAGCCTGTGAGGGACATTTCAGGTTCAAACCATGTTAGAGATTGCTGATCTGTGTGGGTAAGAGCTCCTAAAATGACTTCAGGCTACCTGTGTTTTATTGCTAGCTCCTGGCCTTCCCACCAAGATCTCAGAAGTGTCTTGTTTCCTCAGGCATGACACTGCCTGCCTGGTTTGTCAGCCCAGAAGACACTGGTGGGACACTCTGGTCCCCTGCTCTGTGGGAGCCTTGGTCAGTAACTAGGCTGCAGCCAGGCAGGGCAGGGTAGGGGGTTGCTGCCATCTGGTGGTGTAGTGCTGGCTAAGGCCTCGCCTTTCTTGGACTCTCAGTGAGGGAAAGGACATCAGACCTTCACCCTTCTGAGTAAATTGTACACCAGGCTCAGACTAATTGGGAGAAACATGTTCATTTTTTCTGCTGGAAGGAATCAAAGAAGAGTCCTCCCTTCTCTTGTGTGCAGCTCGTCCCCAGCCAAGAAACCATAGACAGCCCCTCTGAAGCACAGGGGAGAAGTTGTTGGTCCCTGGTCCTAAAGGGATTATGTGTCTGCTGAGCAGCTGAGGCCAGATCTCCTTTCTAAACACCCCCACTGCCTGTTTCCCCCAGCAAAGGATAAGGGGGCCCCCCTCTCTGACACTTGATTTGGATCTCAGGATGGAGGTGACTAATCCTAACAGGATCAGCATGTGTTCTCATCGCTCTGGCCCCAGCCTGATATTGTTACCAGATGAGAACATGTCTTATTGAGTTTCACTCTTATGGCTGTGGAGACAGAGTGCTTTGAGCAATGGGCAGCCACACAGTGTCCTGAATAACTCTAGATCCTCCTCCCTTGTCCTGGGAAGACTGGGGTCAGACTCTGCTCTTGAATTTTGGGACAGTACTCTATTACCACCTGCCCCCAGTTGTGTATTTCTGTTAGACGAGGACCCCAAGTTTCCTTGCACAGTGTATAGCCCCTGCTGGTCCCTACCCTCCTGCTAAATCCTGGCTGCAGCCAGGGCCCTGGGCTCCCGCTAGGCCTTTTTTGGGCTTAATGCTCTCTACTCTTCTCCCTCTGGAGATGAACATCTGCAACAAACCCTCCAACAAGACAGCCCCTGAGAAGAGTGTGTGGACAGCGCCTTCGCAGGACAGTGGGCCCTCCCCAGAACTGCAGGGCCAGCGGTCTCGCCGGAATGGATGGAGCTGGCCCCCCCACCCGCTCCAGATTGTGGCCTGGCTGCTCTACCTCTTCTTTGCGGTGATTGGCTTTGGGGTCCTTGTTCCCCTCCTGCCTCACCACTGGGTGCCTGCTGGCTATGCTGTATCCTTGGAATATGTGGGACTGGGAAAGTTGGGGAAATGGACAGATGGAAAAAGGCAGAAGCCTGAAGCTGGGTGCAGGGTCTTTGGGAACATTTAGTGGTGTAGAGCTGGGTTGACTCAGTTGATTCTCTGCCAGGCTTAACAACAACTACTACGACCTCCTCCTCCTCCTCCTCCTCTTCTTCTTCTTCTTCTTCTTTTCTTCGGTTTTTCGAGACAACATTTGTCTGTGTAGCTTTGGCTTTTCTGGACTCACTGTGTAGACTGCCCTTGAACTCACAGATATCCGCTTGCCTCTGCCTCCCAAGTGCTAGGATTACAGGCATGTGCCACTTGACCCTTCCTCTGGTAAAAGTGAGTGAACAATCCCAAAGTTCCTCAGACCACTTAAAATAGCACAGAGGATCTGATGAAGATTCCCTGGTTATACCTGAGCTAAAGAAAGGGCAAGTCAGAGACTGGAGATATAGTTCAGTTGGTAGAGTACTTGCTTGGCATGTGCAAGGTCCTGGGTTTAATCCTCATTTGAAACAGCAAGTTAGGGAGCAATTATTCCACTTATAAAGGAATTTGTCATGGTATAGTTTTTCCACATAGTAAGTTTCTTGGTACATTTAAAATGTGGTTTTATTTATAGCCACATTATTTTGCTATGCCTAGGAATATTTACACACTTACTGACTTTTGGATGAGTGTATTTGTGCCAAAAGGTGGCATAGAAATGCCCTGCAGGCTCCTGGGAACAGTGACAAACATTAACTTGCTTGATCCTTATAGTGTGACTGTCCTAGCCCTGGCCAGAACCTCAAAGACTGAAGATGTGCCTATAAGGCTGGGTTTGGGGTGCAGAGCCTCTGTGTGACCATGTCCAGGGAGTTCCCGTTACTGTCTGCTGGCACCGGCCTCCTGAAGAGGGTTTCTGAGAGAGGGAAGACAGGGCTAGCTGGAGAGCACATGTCAGCAGGGCCTGTTCTCAGCTCAGCCCCTCTGGGCTATGCTGATCCAAGCGGCTGCTCTAGCTCTCTGCTTCAGTCTCTCTTGTCACACAGGAAGAAGGTTCTGTGTGCTTCCAAAGGCTGGGTTGAGAAGGAGGGCATTTTAAGTGTGTGCACATAAAGGGCTTTAGCTAGCAATGTAAGTGGGAGACTCCAGACCCCAGGTCTTAAGGTGACCATGGGGCCTTACTGTGATTAGGTAGAATGCTTGAGGGGACATTATCCTGTGGTCTGGAATAGTTTTACCCCTAACTCAAGGTTACCCAGGCAACCTGCCTGCAGGGTACCTGAGAACCCAGAGTAGTAACCACCTGGCTTGGAGTGAGGAGGATCAGAGCAAGTAACAAGAAACAAAAAGAGCATTTATGGAGTATGTACCTGTGCCACACATTTGTTAAGGATGACCTCCTTCAGTCCTTATGAAGAAGTAAGGAAAATGTTCTCCCCTCTAATAAAGTGTATCAATTATTTCTGTTGCTGTGACAACCCAAAGCAACTGATAGAAGACAAAGTTTATTTTAGCTTATGGTTCTAGAAGGTTAGAGACTGTTCATAATGGTGGGAAGGATGTGGCAGTAGATGGACAGGAGGCTGATCATATGTCAGCTGCATACAGGGAGCAGAGGGAGTGAGCAGGAAGTAGAACAAGGCTATTAACCCTCAAATCCTACCCCCCTAATGATATACATCTTCAGCAAGGCTGTACCTCATAAAGGTTCTGTAACCCCTCCACCCCCCAATGTGCTACCAGTTGGCAAACAAGTATTTAAATACATGAACATATGGAGAGTATTCTTATTGGGGACCATATGAAGAGAGAGGCTCACACAGGATAGTGACTCTCTGAGGTCACATGGCAGGTACCCAGTGAGGACAGACGGGCCCTCAGGCTGAGGACTTGGAAGGAATTGAGGGTTTGATGTTTTCTCAAACATCTTTGATGGTTTCTCAAACTTCTTTGAGCCATACGGAAGCTCCCAGAGTCACTTAGTCTGGCAGTCTGACCAAGGCTCTGTGGTTCCATTGAAGTCTCCTTCCATTAAAGCAGGCTCTCAGGGCCCCTGAGGAATGAAGTGGGTACCAATTCCCCACTGTGGGTCTAGAATGGGCCTGGGCTTCAGGGATGCAAAGACGAGCTTTGGGTGCTTAGGAGCCAGGGGAATGGGAGACTGGTGGGTTAGAGACCATGATTACACGCCATGTAAATGTTGGGGTGGGGCTCAGACAGCAGATTTGAATGGAAGAGTGCTGTCACATTCATATGGCAGCCTGGCACATATCTGCTGCTTGTGGGTCTCCTTCTCCCAGCCTTGTTGACGTGCTTGACTCCCCTTTCATCCACTGCTGTTAGTCATCAGGACTATTGAATTTATCTCTTTCCCCGGTTTGCCACATTACCTCCCCACTGCTTCCTGCCTCTCTGAGCTACATGGCTGTTTAATTTCCAAGTAAGCCTCTCCTGTGCACCCCTGCTCCTGGCTACCAACAGCTGCAGGAAGAGCACGCTTACAATCTTTCTCACACACACAACCCCCACCGCTCTAGTCTCTCTCCCTCCGTCCTATTCCCCCTCTCTCTTTCTCCAGCTATCTTTATCCCTGCAGACACACACACACAAATCTGGTAATGTTTTACCAGCTTAAAATCTAGCAGCAATTCCTGCCTTAAAAAATGAGGCTGAGCCAGACGGTGGTGGCATACGCCTTTAATCCCAGCACTTGGGAGGCAGAGGCAGGCAGATCTTTTGAGTTCGAGGTCAGGCTGGTCTACATAGTGAGTTCCAGGACAGCCAAGATTACATAGAAGAAACCCTGTTTTGAAAGACCAAAATAAGTAAGTAAATAAGTATGTACATAAGTTAGTAAATAAATAAGTAAATAAATCAATAAGGCTGTAGGTAGCCAGGAGCCGGGATGCATAGGAGAGACTTACTTGGAAATTAGGCCTCCATGGATTTCTGCATGTGTAGTCTGCATGTCTGTTTGGCTTCTTGTATTGCCTCTGTTTTGATAGCAGTGATTTCGTCCTAGAAGCCCTTGTGTCAACACCCAGCTGAGTCACAGGTCAAGAACTGAGAGCGCAGTGAGCCAGTCTGGTTGGCAAATTGTATAAAAATGGTGGAATGATTAATATCCAAAAATGCATGTTTTGAAATAATTTATTTCTTTAACATTTAAACAGTGAATTCTCACTGAAAGCCTAGATTTCTGTTGTTGTTGTTCCCTTTGAAAGCTCAGAATTTGGCAGCGTAGATCCTATTCTTATGTGGCAGTCATGAGCTGGGACAGTATTTCAGCCACACCTTTGATTGGCACCTGGCATATTTCAGGTATCCACGGCACTCAGCCCAGTGTGTTTCCCTCTGCCATGCATTCCAAGGCCTGTTGTGCATCTCAGTTAGGTTGACAAGGCTTCAGAGAGGTCTTTGAGATCCTGTTGAACTAATATCTGTGCTCTCTGTCATGCAGCAGGCTTCTTAGAACTCAGAACCAACTCTTTCCATATTCCTTCATGCCTGACACAAAGCAAAGAACTGTGAAAACAGTTGACTGAGGGAAGCAGTGGAGAAATCTGGGAGGAGGCAGGGAGTAAATGCTGACCCACAGTGAGGATCTAGAGTTGGGAGAAGCCAGAACAAGGTGAGCGTTTGGCCTGGGCTAAGGCATGGACTTCGGCTGGAAAGCCTTTAAAGCTACGATAGGCCTTGATGCAGGGAGGAGCTTAGGTGTAGGGTGTAGGTTGTTGGACGCTCACTCCTTGAGAGAAGAGTGCGAGGTTCTCAAGTAATGTAGGTAAGAGATGAGCTGACCCGTAGCACTGCCTTCAGGATAGAGAGCTCAGTGTTAAGCTCATGTTGGGCTCTTTGAGCTGTGGTACAGCACATTCTGGAAGAGGCTGGCTCACATAGAGAGCTGAAAGAATTTGGCTACTGAGTGAGGGTAAGGATGTTGGACAGCCGATGGGCACCGGGTGGATGTTGGATAGATCCCGAGTGATAGAGGAATGATATCTTTCTGGCTAGCAGGAAGATAAGAAGGTTCATGGGTGAGTAGGTGGAGGGAAGAAAACAAGGTAGATACCTTCCTGGGTGGAACCTCCGGGTGAGTTTGTGTATAGATTTTGCAGCCAGTTAGCAGCATACTCAGTTCCTGTATTTGGCTTAGCTAAGTCCTTGGAAAGCTTCACGTCAGTTCCAGGAGTTAGCTGCACTGCTCAGGCCAGCTCTGAACATGTAAGGCCATCCCAGTCCCTCAGCTTAGGGGCCAAGTACTTGGACTTGAGGTGGGGGAGGCTGCAAGTAGGTGAGCCCTGGCTACAGGTGTTCTCCATCTGGCCCTAGCTCTTGAAAGAGGTAGCTGCTTCTGTCTCGGAAGTGGCTTCCTGTGAAAGCAAGAAAAACAAGCTCACAATTTCAGCTTAAGTCTCTGGACCTTAGAGGGTGTTGTCTTTTAGTCTCCTTCATCTTCTGGAATCTGAGATGAGAAGAAACTGGCTTGTACCAGGCCTGAAATGGTAAGGCCAAGGCTCTATGGCTAGACCTCTGGGTGGCAGCAGTAAGTAGGGTTGGTCTTTGGGCCTCATTAGCATACGACCTTTTTTTCTTTCTTTTTCTTAAAAGTCTTGTTTATTGTATGAGTGCTCTATCTGCATATGCACCCGCATGCCAGAAGAGGGCATCAGATCCCAGGATACATGGTTATGTGCTTGCCAGGAATTGAACTCAGGATCTCTGAAAGAACAGACAGTGCTCTTAACCACTGAGCCGTCTCTCTAGTCCCCATATGACCCTTTTCAATGGAGAGTTTAGGGTTCTGATAGAGCTTGGTGAGGAGGCTCTGGTGGGGCAGGAAGACAGCACAGGCAGAGTCTCTACAGAAAGGAAATCTTCATGGACAGAAGTACTCTGTCCACAAAAGTGGGTGGGACTTCTGGTTTGCAGAGTGCGGACTGAGTCTTTAACCTGTTGGGCTAGTGCATGGGTGCCATCTTTGCTGGCCACCTTGTGGTGCACCTGACCGCTGTCTCCATCGATCCAGCAGATGCCAATGTTCGGGACAAGAGCTATTCTGGCCCCCTGCCTATCTTCAACCGCAGCCAGCATGCACATGTCATTGAAGACCTGCACTGCAATCTGTGCGACGTGGATGTGTGAGTGCATGAGTGTGAGTGAATGTGTGGGCCACGAGTGTGCCAGAAGGATAGAAGAGGGTTGCGCCAGGCTTCCTGGCTATACTTACGCCTCTGAGCACTTGTACTTTGCATAGTCAAGAGCTGTGACAGAGGGTGGGCATGGTGGCGCACGCTTTTAATCCTAGTACCCAGGAGGCAGAGGCAGGTAGATCTCTGTGAGTTTGAGGCCATCCAGAGCTACATAGTTAGACCTTGACTGAAATCAAAGCAAAAAGAGGCTTGGTGGAGCTGGGCAAGGTGGTCCATACCTGTAATCTCGGCAATTGGGAAGCCGAGGCAGGAGGATTTCAATGAGTTTGAGGCCATCCAGGACTACATAGTAAGACACAGATTCAAAAAGCAAAAACAACAAAAAGTTTGGTGGAGTGACCTGAGATAGTGATTAGAAAAAAAGACAAGGCATAGCATTTCCTATAGCAAAAACAGAAGGCATTTGGCAGGACCGCAAACATTTCTGAACGACTAACTCTGCCAGTGACATCTTTAGTCTCTTAAAAGCACCCAGACGGGCAGGAGGGGAGTTAAGGTTTCATGTTCTATGCTACGTTCTTTAACGTAGAGCCGGAGCATACTGCTCAGAAAGCTGGGCAGTGTCCTGAAGTCACAAAGCTCTTGAGCAGCAGAGTCGGTCACACTAGCTCTCTGGCCCCCAGCACCTTCACTCTTTACCGATGAGGAGTCAGTCCAGAGAGGCCATCTGGCTCACTCCAGGTCCTCCTGCTAGTGAGGAGACAGGATGTGGAGCACCCATTTTCCTTTGCAATTCCCAGTACCTCTGAGGGGCTCCTCCTCACATTACTGGAGCTTTGCAGTCTCCCAGACTCAGGTGTGGGTTGGGGGATAGAGCGTAGCCCAAGGTCAGTTCCACACTTGGAATCTGAAGGCTTAAAGTAGCCTGTTAGACGGTCCGTCTACAGGAACCAGGCCTACTGCCATTCTCTAAGCAGCAGCCAGCACGTGTTCCGAATGGCTCTGGCAGTTGCTCTCCATGGATGATGGCAGGAGACCATGAGCTATTCTTCCATACACATTTGGGCCTTCTGAGATGCCTCCTGGGGGAGACCCCACTTGTATCCTAACGTGGCCTTCTTTCACTTGTCCCTTGCCCATGCGTTTCTTTAATGCCCCTAGATGACAGCAAAAGCTCTCCTTTTGGCTCCTTTTCAGTTAGCCCACGCAGGTTTTCTGGAAGAATGCCAGAAATTTTTCCGTAGGATGGCAAGGAAATTGACCCCCAAAAGGAGCTGTTAGAAGTGCAATTAAGGCACCGGTTGGGCAGCTGTGCATTTTGCCTCGGGTCCCACACCTGCATTTTGTGTGTGGTCTGGCACAGATGTCCTTGCTTGGAAGGGATGCCTCCTTTCCTTCTCATGTGGCCTTTACGTCCGTATGTAGTTCAAGGGTAGGACCGCACAAGACACCCCTCTTCCCTCTACCATGATCCTCAGCACTTTTTCCAGGGGTCCCACCTCGAGTTTCCACCAGAGGGCGCGTGCCTTCCTCATTGCTGCGATCCGCGGAGGGGCGGGGGTGCCTGTGGGTAATTAGGAAACAGGCCTGAATAAGGAGGTGCCTGTGGGTAATTAGGAAACAGGCCTGACTCAGGTCGCTCTACCAGCCCGGGCTAGGTGGGCTGGCGGACCGCAATGTGCCTTCCCCATAACCCTCCCCAGGAGTGCTCGATCCAAACACTGCAGCGCCTGCAACAAGTGCGTATGCGGCTTCGATCATCATTGCAAGTGGCTCAATAATTGCGTGGGCGAGAGGAACTATCGGTGAGAATCAGCTGGGGCCTGAAGATTCGTGATCCGAGTCTGGGGTCCTATTGAAGGCTGCCTGTAACGCTTGTAACGGCGGTACACAGTAGAGGGTGGGGTGCGTGCATGCTAAGATGCTTGGGATGACTGAGGGTGGGTTCGGAGTCTTCCATCCTATTGGCCCAGACAAAAATGGAGAGTCTGAGAAGTGGTCGCCCATCTTCAGGCTCTCTGACTGTGACTTTGGGGCTTTGAGGTCAGGAGCCTGGCTTCTCACCAAGCCAGAGCTCCTGAGTGCTGACAGTTGCCCGTGGCTGGGCCAGGCTCTTTCTACACAGTGTGGCATCTGCTTTATTGGGTGTTCTGCTCCTCGTGCTGGTGGCCACTTATGTCTTCGTGGAGTTTTTTGTCAACCCCATGAGGCTTCGTACCAACCAACACTTTGAAGGTCAGTGTGGGTTCTAAACATAGACTTATTTTAATCAGTTTACCCCTCACCCCTGGCTAAGCACAGTCTGCCTGTGCCTTACAGTGCTGAAGAATCACACAGATGTGTGGTTTGTGTTCTTGCCTGCTGCCCCTGTGGAGACCCAGGCGCCTGCCATCCTGGCCCTGGCTGCCCTACTCATCCTTCTGGGCCTGCTTTCTACAGCCCTGCTTGGCCACCTGCTCTGCTTCCACATTTATTTAAGTAAGTGCCTCCTCCAAGCTTGCCTTGAAGGGATGGAGTCTGGACTGCAGAGAGGTATCTTTTTGGGCTGTAGAACCTTGAAGCCATGTACCTTACCAGTGCTGGTTCTTTGTGGTAGGACTGGCTTTGTCCCACTGGTTAGTATATATGTTAGTTGAACCTAGTGCTGGCTGCCCTTCCTTCTAAGTTCCAGGATTACCTCTCCACTACTGACCCCTCTCTTCCCATACCCACCAGTGTGGCACAAGCTCACCACCTATGAATACATCGTGCAGCACCGCCCAGCTCAGGAAGCAAAGGAGACCCACAAGGAGCTTGAAACATGCCCCCGAAAGATGCGGCCCATTCAGGTATAGAGGTGGCCCTGAGACCTGGGCTTGGGTGTATGTGTGTATAGTAGGAAGTAGGGCTGTGCAGCAAGAGCCATTGAGGAAACCATGCAAGGGAAGCAAGCCTAGAGCAGCAGCTAGAGTAAGGGTCCTAGACAAGCTGGACCTAGCCTAGGCTGGGCACAGGAGTACCAACATGGCCAAAAGGAGTCTTGTGTTTTTGCAACCCTGTGTACCTTCCTGTCCAGGCACCAGGCATATGGTAGAGGAAGCCAGCTGTCAGTTATGAACTGGATGGGTTAGACTGTAATCATCTATTCCGTTCATCTGTAACTGTGACTCCTTGCAACTTATCCTATTTTAGTTTTAGAACAGGGGCAGCTGTTGACAGTCCATGTTACAGATGGGCACATTGAGGTCCAGAAAGATTAAACAGCAGCCTGGCCTGAGAAGAGTTAAGGTCTCTATACACAGAGAACAATGCAGGAACCATGCAACCTAGGCTCTGGTCTGGCCAGCCCAGCTCTAGACCAGCTTGTCCCCATTCCCACGCTCCCTGGCTTCCTGAGGTCAGCAGCTGGGGATGGAGGTGGTCCAGTCCTCAAAGCCCCAAGGGAATGTAAAGGCAGGGGGCCCAGGCAGGCTTTGCTGGGAAGGCTGAGCCCTGGATCCCAAATTCTCATGGCAACTGGATACAAACATAGGCTGGTGGGCGGGTTGGAAAAGGACCCTGCCTCTCCTTATATCATCTCCAGGGCTTGAACCCTGCCTATGGGCCAGGCTGAAAAGTTCTAGCAACTGGGAGAGAACCCCTGTCGCCCAAACCATCACATACCTGCCCTAGTGCTGGGCACTGAGCTGTACAGATAGTGGCCGGCCTAAAGTGTCAGTAAAGTAGGCAAGGCTTGCTCTGGGATGCCCAGACTCCAGGCGCCTGTACCTTTTGCCCTGCTTAGGCTTTGGGCCTAACTGTGACACATCAAGGACATTTCATTCTAGTTTGTTTTTCTACAGCTGACTTGAGGGGAAGCCTATTCTATGAGCTGGGTGCCTATGCCCTTTGACAGAAGAGAAAGCTAAGGCTGAGAGGTTCCAAGTAACATTCAGGAATGTGGAAGGGTTTGAAGTTTTCTGAGGAAGGTCCTGAGGATTGGTCTGAGGAGAGGAGGGAAGTCTGAGTGGGCACCTCCTGGTGATATGTTCACTTTCTTTTAGCTGGTTAGGGCCTGACTTCTAGCCTATCCTAGGGGGTCCAAGGTAGCCTTTGTCCTCTGCTGGGTGCTGTGGGGTGCTGAGTTTTTACTAAAGGAGGGGAAAGATGTGAGGCCATGACCTGAAGACCCCAGGACTTGGAACTCTGATCCCTGTGCTGCTCTGCTTGGGCAGGTATCCCCATGTCCTGCCTAAAGGGTCATCCAGGGCAGAGTTTGAACCTGGGGCTTATCTGGGGCCTCAGTCTTTGCACCTGTGCAGTCAGCCAGTGGTTGGCTGGGCCTTGTCCTAGTCCCTAAAACTTTCAGGGACCGGGCATGCAGGCTCCCAACCCCCACCCAGCAGGAATTTGGGAGGGGCCCCTCTCTAGAGCCGTTGCCCCCAAAACATAGGCTTGTTTTAGAGACGGCTTTCTGTTACAGTGTCGTCTCAGCCTTAGTCAGGACGCCTCTGTCACCATGGAAACGACTGCCTAGTAGGCGACAGCTGTCTGGGTGCTCCCTCTGGCTCACCGGCCCCGCCCTTTGCCCTCTGCCCCCCTCCCTTCCTCAGCGGCTTTTCCCGGGCTTTTATTTCTTCACCTGCAGTTCTCTCTAGCAAAGCTGGGGGCATCTGGCAAGCAGTGGTGCCAGCCTAGCCACTCCCAGCTCTTTTGTTTAGAGTTACCTCCACTGCCATCTCATTCAAGATTCACGGTTGCAACACTATTCCATCAGCTGCACCCTTTCCTTTTGGAGAATAGGGACACCAGTGATTGCACCCACATCCTCCTTCCCAGCAGTCAAGATTGTGGCTGGTACTCTGAGAATCGGGGTGCACTCATTATGCTGTCAGAGCATCCCCTCAGTGTTCACAGCCTGGAGCACACAAGCTGTCCTGGGAACAGATTTGTGGTCTCCTGGCCATTGAATGAGTTAGTTCAGTGGCTGAAGCTCTTAGTAGCAGCCAGGAGCAGGTGAGGGCCACCCACCCTTAGCTGAGCTTCCCAGTCTAGGCAGACTGGAGCTAAGGGATTGCAGCCTTCCTCAGTAGAAGGAAAGACTACATGAAATGACTACATGAAATGAGTCCTTGTATCAAGTTAAGATGGAGTGAGTGTTTGCAGCCTTGCCCTGCAGAAGGGCTTTCTTAGCCCATCTGAGAACCAGAAAGACAGCCCTAGAACCCTGGCACGTGCAGCTGCCAAGCTTCCAGAGAGGCCAATGACAAGCTGTGCTCAGGGCTTAGGAGACTCTGGATCCACGCAGAGCCTCCCAGCATTTCTGACCCCTCTTTCCCAAGGAGATGGAGTTCTACATGAGGACCTTCAGCCACGTGCGTCCAGAGCCCTCTGGTCAGGCTAGGCCAGCAGCATTAAATGCCAAGTAAGTGGGTACCGCCTGGCTGTCCTGTGAGAGGGAGAAAGGGAGGTAGGTCAGGGTCAACATGGGTCTGGGCGCAGTTCAGCAGTCTTGGATGGATCAGTGTCTCTGCCCTGCTAGGAAGGGAACCGCCAGCAGGGAGGGTCTCTGGGGCAGCATCTAGAGCTTGCTCTCTGGCTTTTACCTCAGTCCTTCCCAGTTTCTTGCCACCCAAGGCCAAGTGGAACCACCACTGCCCTCCTCCTCAGACACACTGGCTCTGCCTCCACGGATCCAACCCCAGGTAGGAGGGACTGGGTTTGGACCTCTGCCCAAGAAGAGGGAGATGAAAAAGACGGCTCTACTCTGATGAGTACCTCTGCTGCTTTTGGCAAAGTGGGGTTTGGGGAAGCGGCCCACACTCCCTCTGTCTTTGCAGAAAAAGAGGAAGCGGCGTGTGTACAGATTGCCGAAGTCTGGGGTCTTGGACCGGGAGCCCCCGCTGCCCAGGCTATGGGGTAAGCACCTCTCTGCTTGGAAAGTATTGGGTTAGTTCAAGGGAGGGAAAGGTTTTCAAGCCGTAGCAGCAGCCCTTGTCTCAATGTAAGTTCCTCCCTCTGCGCAGGGACTGGGACCCCCGGCCGCCACTCCAGTTCTTCATCCGATTCCACCAGTGCCAGTCCAGTGCATGCGGCTGGCTCTGCTGGCGCCTACTACTCGGCATCAGCCGACTCCATGGAAGAGATTCCTGTGGCCCAGACGCGCCTGGGCAGTGCCGCATTGGGCACCCCAGGAGCCAGGGCCCGAGAGTCTGGGCTGGCGCTACAGGCACGTTTGCCTGCCGTTTTCGTGAGCCCGAGCAGTGGCGAGCTCGGGACGCCAGGCGGCGAAGACGGCCTGCCTTAGTGGGCACCGGAGGCAGGAGGGCCGCCTAGGAACTTCCTGCCGACTCTATGCAACACCCTATCTGGCCGGCGGGATCGGCCTCCCTCTCCCGAGACTCAGCAATATCCGCTCCACCAAGCCCTGATGCTCCAATAAACTTTTTTTTTTTTAAATGCTTTTGTGGACTTAGTACTAATTTTCACAGTGGAAAAAGCCATGGGTCTTCCGGAAGCCGGACCTCCATTGCTAGCTGGCCTGGGGCAGAGAGCGGGTGGGTTGGGAAAGGTCTCTGGACAAGATTTTTATTTTAAGTGTTGGGAATCAAACATGGAGTCTTGTTCATGTTGAAGCACTACCGCTCTCCCCTCTCTCCTCCGCTCTTCCGTTTCCTTTGTAGCCAGAACGGTTAGCCTCGAAAATTCGAATCCACGGCTTCAGTCTCCTGAATGCCCAGATTACAGGCGTTTGCCAGCATACCCAGCACACTCAGCAAGGTTATTTAGTTTACTAGTATTTGCAGCTGGAGACTGAAGAGGAAGCAGGTTCGGGAGGCAGCAGTGAACAGAGGCTGTGAGGCCGAGGAGAGGTGAGAATGGAAGGAGGCAGCCATATTCTCGAGGTCCGGGAATTGCTTCCTCATGGTAGCTGCCATCCAAGTGCCCAGCATTCTGGGGCGAGACACGCGTGACCCACTGATTGTCCTGGACTTCCCCCCAGTGCGCCAGAATCTGGATCCTACTGAGAACCTCGGAGTAGCTGGGGAATGCCACAGTTAGCGGCAAGTGTGGTCTTTGAGCTAGCTGTAGATCTTTGTCAATGAGGGACAGGATCCCGATTTTTTTTTTTCAGTTCAGCTCCTAATCGGTCTCAGGTTGACCCAGAGTCCCTTGAGGGTTAGGGACCCCACTTGAACTTTTGGGGGTTTTCCCTTTGGCCATAGAAGTTCCTATCCTAGGACATCCAGGACTGCAGAGGGCAGCTCTGGCCGCTTGAAGACCGGAGCTGAAGGGGAGGGGCAGGATAAGACTGTCGCTGCAACTCCTGTGGGCTCAGCGCCTACAGAGCACATAGGGCGGGGGCTGGTGGGAGGAGCCAGCGTGACCTTGGTCACTCTCCCGCCGAGACAGCCTAGGGGGTGGGACTCGCCGTCTCTATGGTGACCGAGAAACAGGGGATAATACCACGGAGCCGCCCGGGCTGCAGTCCCGCCCGGGAGCCGGCAGGGAGCGGAGCTGTGGAGCCTCCTGGTCTCCAGCATCTGTCGATCAGTTCCTGGGTCCTGTCTATCCGAAGACAAGCTCAGGAGCAGCCAAGAGATAGAAGCCGGTAGGAGAACTGAACATCGACCACCCTAATTAATATCCTCCGAAAGGAGGGGTGGGTGGGAGCAGCCTGTGTATCAGTGGATGGTACTGAGCTGAGGATACCAGCTGCGCACCCGGCCCTGGCCCCAAGCGGTCCACACACCCCTGCCCCCACCTCCTTGCTAGGCTGATTGATGACTGCAGCTGTCCCAGCAGAAGCTGACGGGCAGATTCAGTTCAGAGGCGTGGCCACTCCATCCAGGGTCCGCGGACCCCAGAGCAGCTTGCCCCTGCTCCTGCTCCACCTGAATAGCCCCCAAATCCATCTACCCATAGACAGGAGGGAACAATAGGCCCAGAACCCTTACATTTCCCTGAGACAAGCATCATGTAGCACCCAAACTCCCCTGAACATGTTTACCCTCGGTGATCAAGCGTAGGGCCTTGGGTTCCCCGTTGGGGTTTGCACCGTGTGAGAGCAGTACTACCTGGATTGCTGTCCCACAGAGGTCCTTGGGACTTGTAGGATCGCTGGCTTTCTCAGTCTTAGAAAGTTCAACTTATGGATGAGCAGGTATGGCCACTAGGAAGGGCCTTTCAGTGTGAACCTACTACTCATAATGAAAGAGGAGGAGGTTGTACAGTGGGCCAGGTTGTGGTCATCCGAGACCTTTTTCCTAAGAGGCAGAGGTGAAGATGGAGGCTGAGAATAAGGGTGCGGTCAGGAGGCCGCAGTGGGTGTGGTGATGGTAGTATGTTCTGATATAATGCAGGAGTATGGAAATGCCAGTCTGGTTAGACTCTGAGGGGCTTTGGTGTAGTTCTGGGTCAATAGTCCCAGGTGTACGAATGAAGTGGGAGCACTAAGGGTGTGGTCAGAAAACTGCCTCGTGAGTGTGTGGTTGGTGGATATTCAGTGTTTTCCATGGAGCATGAAAATGTATATTGCACAGACTGGGCACTGTGGGGGGTTTCAAGCAGGGTGTTTCAAAGGTATGTCAGAAGCTGTAGGTATATGGGTGAAAGAGGATGCTCTGAGGGTATGGTCAGGGGTCCTTTGTAAGAGCTGTGTGGGTGCAGAGTCAGGTTAGTATGGCTGGGATCTTCAGGGTACGAATTAAAAGGATGCAAAATGGAGATGCAAGTGTGGCACAGGGTTTGATCTGTAGAGGTGGGGTTGAGGGTGTGGTCAGAGATCTGCAGTGGAGAGCTGAGGGTGTGGTCAGGGGACTGCAGTAGGGGGCTGTGCGTATGCTGGGGAGGGGCTTCAATGCAGGGCCCTTAGTGCCTGTGTGGGGACCGCTATGGAAAAAAGGGTCAAGTTCATGGCTTTGGGTGTGGGTGGAGGAGGCCTATGTGCAGGACTGTGAGTGTGGTCAGTGGGTACAAGGCAGAGGGCGTGGAGAGCCAGAGCTCAGTGCATGTCATCTGTGGGAATGTGGACTGTGTGGCATTGCTCAGAGTGTGATAAGACCTTAGCGGAGGTCTGTAGTGTAGACAAGGGGATGTGTACGTCAGCGAAGGCTTGAAGCACCAAGGTCATGGGCCCACCAGCAACATGGAGGAGTTTAGGGGCTACTCTACAAGCCTGTTCCTAGGTTGCTTCCAATTTCCCACTCTTAAGCTCCACACACTGGAAGCTACAGCTTCAATCAGTGGCAGAGGGCCAGGAAGCCACGGTTGTGCCCTAGGCTTAGGGAGTGCTGGTATGCCCCACCCGTGGGTCCCTGATCCCCAGCCCAGCCCAGCCCAGCCCAGCAACACTGGGAGCTTCTCCCTGAAGCCGCCCTGACACCATCCTACCCTTAGCAACACTCTCCAAGCAGCAGCACCCTCCCTTAGCAACTGTCTCCAGGCTTCACAAACTGTGGCCAGGCCAGACCCAAGTTCCTGCTCCCCTCATGTTTTTGTTTAACAGCAAATAGTAACAAGGCCAGGGCTGGGCCAGCTGCGCCCCTGCCTAGGGCATGCACCACTGCCCTTGCTCTTGCTCCCTTGTCAGGGTTAGGCTGGGCCTCTCTAGGTCTTCATGACCCTTACTGAGACACAGTCTTCATTAAACACCTGCCCATACACCAGCCTTGCCTGGCACTGACCCAGCTTGACATGGAATTTTCAGGGAGGATTTTCTGGCCCCCCTTCCCCTGCCACTACTTCCACCCAACCAGGCTTTGTGCCAGGGACAGACAAAGCCATGGCCTTGGCTGCTCCCCTCACTGTCTTTGTGGACAGTGCCACTCTGTTCCCAGTATTGTGTGGGCATCATGATTTCATCTTCTGAGCCCTATTGAGAACCAGGGCTGGCACTGAGTGATAGCACCTTTCTGCCCATGGCTCTTCCTCAGCTCTGGACACAAACAGACACAAGGTATCAACCTATCTGCCTTCCCAGGCAAAACCCAGTCCTGACTGAGGGACTGAAGCTGCCAGCTCAGAACCTCACAGATTTTGAGGTGGACCTAGGGATGCTCTGGGTCTAGAGGAGATATGAGCAGCTTGGCTGGGAGGTAACTGAGGGGGATCCCTACAGGGTGGCATGGCGGCGAGCACTGACATAGCTGGGCTGGAGGAGAGCTTCCGGAAGTTTGCCATCCATGGTGACCCCAAGGCCAGCGGGCAAGAGATGAATGGCAAGAACTGGGCCAAGCTGTGCAAGGACTGTAAGGTGGCTGACGGAAAGGCCGTAACGGGTACTGATGTGGACATCGTCTTCTCCAAAGTCAAGTGAGCTCCAGGAAACCCCTGTTTCTCATGTTCCCAGAAAGTGGGGAGTTGGGGGGCCAGAGTCAGGGAGGATGTAAAGAAGGGGGGTCCTTATAGTGCACGTGGTGCCTGGCAGGGCCAAGTCTGCTAGAGTAATCAACTATGAGGAGTTCAAGAAGGCCCTGGAGGAGCTGGCAACCAAGAGGTTCAAGGGGAAGAGCAAGGAAGAGGCCTTCGATGCCATCTGCCAGCTGGTAGCAGGCAAGGAGCCTGCCAATCTCGGTGTCACTGTAAGTTGCCCCGATATCCCTGCCGGAGAGAGGGGTGTGGAGATCCTTAGCTGGAGTGGGAGTTGGGTAGGATGGGCCAGGTTCCCTGTAAGGTGACTCTGTAGGAACTCTGTCCAAACAGAAAGCAAAAACAGGTGGCGCTGTGGACCGGCTGACTGATACCAGTAAGTACACAGGCTCCCACAAAGAACGCTTCGATGAGAGTGGCAAGGGCAAGGGCATTGCTGGACGGCAGGACATCCTGGACGACAGTGGCTACGTGAGTGCCTACAAGAATGCAGGAACCTATGATGCCAAGGTGAAGAAGTGAGACCTGGGAAGGCCCCCAGTGAGGCTGCCCCACTGGAGGCTCAGGCCTGGGTCAAGGGTCACATGGAGCAAGAAAGCCTGGTTCCCTCCCTGCTGGATCTGCCACAAAGAGCTTCCTGCCCATTCCCAGGGCCATCCCATCAGGCCTCTGACCCAGACTGCTGTGTCCCCTTCTTCCTCTTGTCTTTCTGACTTCTGTCTAGGAGTCAGTACCTGTACCCTCACCGCCCCAGCCTGGTCCCAGGCATGGCTGACTCTTGCCTGCTTGCCTCATATTTAAGCTGCTGCTCTGGCCAAGTGCCTAACTCTTACCCAGACCTCAATAAAGATACCTTTTGTACCAACATGGATGGAGTACATGGTGGTGGGGTCACAGCATTCACACTGTGCTCACTGTCATCCTTACTGGGACACATTCTCCCTCACTGTCATCACCTTTCTGCATACACACCCTGCTGGGCTCCTCCTTCCAGCTGGCAGCCATGCCCAGAAGCATAGATGAGATCTCCTTCCATTAGTGAGTCCTTTCCATTAGCACAGAGTAGAGCCAGACTATCCAAGAGAGCCTTAGGGAGATGCAAAGCTTTTTACTGGGCCCTGACCCTAGAGTGATGACATCACAGCCTGTTGCCCTGTCAATAAGGGCCTCAGACTCCGCTCAGCATTTGCACAGCAGAAGGAAGGATGAAGCAGCACACTTGGCTTGGACCAAGACTTGGCAGAGGCCCAGGGCTAGGCTTCAGCACTATGTCTGCCAACAGGGGGCTACTAGGGTAAGACATTTTTGGGCTCTAGCCCAGAATCTCAGAATATGCAGGGCTAGAAGGAACCTGACAGAATAAACTTGATTTCTACAGATGTGTCCTAAACTATAAACCTCTTGTCTTCATGCCATCCCCATTCTGGCTCAGCAAGCCCCAACACTGTTGAACCGGGGCTTAATGGCCAGTGATGAGCCTGAAGTCCCACAGTGAGGACCTTCTGGCTGATTCCTCCCATCTGTTCACCATTCTAATGGGGAAGGTGGGGCGACTCTGCTCCCTCCGAGATCATCAGTCCTCAGTCCCTGTTGTCTGGCTAGAGCTGTTCCCAAGTACAGGCTTCACTGCTAACTCTCCTTCCTTGCTGTGCTGGCAAGGAGCCTGGTGGACTTAGGACCTGTCCAGGAAAGGGCAGCTTCTGCTGTGTTCTAGAACGTTCCAGAGGCTCGTGTTCACCAGTAACTTCTTTTCTGACCTGAGGAAAGTGAAGATATGTAATTGTGTGCCCCCACCCTACCCCACAGGCTGTCCTGGGATGTTCAGCTCACACTGGACTTAAGCCCAACCACGTGGGGATGAGAGATGTGGACAAACAGTGTGGGGTGGACAGGGACAAAGAAAGATCAGGTGGAAAGCAGATGGCACAGGCTGGCACCTGCCTCCCAGTGACCAGAGGGTGGCTCCTCACTAGGCTGTCCCTGTTCTATCAGGCTAGCTGGGAAGAGTTCCAGCTTTCCCCTCCCCAGCAGTAAAGGAGTGGTCCCTCCATCTAGCCTGGAAGATCTGAGTCAAAAGCTTCACCCCACTGAGCATTATGGGAAACCTAAATCCTTCTAGCTTTCACTTTACTGAAAGATCCTCACAACAAGTGAGTTTACCTATGTCCATATCTGGCCTCACTCTCAGCTAGAGCCGCAAGGAGAGGAAAGAGCTAATGGAGGGAGGGAGCAGCAAGTCTGTTTATTCCTATGACTGATGGGATGGCTTCGAGGAACAGAGAGAGAGAGAGACAGAGAGAGATGGGGGTGTGGGAAGGGGAGAGAAGAAGCGAGGAAGAGGAGAAAGAAAGTATTGTCTGACCCCAAACTCCACCTAGTAGGAGACAAATCCCTTGTTTTCCTTGAAAAGCCACACAGAACCAGAAGCAGCTTAAGGTCCACTTAGAGCCAGGGATAGTCCCGTGGTTGAAAACCATGAGTTCCTTCTCTAGCAAGGCTAGGCTGACAAGGATGCCACATTAAACTCTCTCTACAGTGGGGAAGTCTAGGCCTTTCTCCCTGGGCAGAGACCTCCCCGAGAATTGGTTGCACATCAGACTTGTTTTCTTCTCTTCCCCTATAGTGCCAGCCTAGAGTGATGCCCTCTCTACTTGTTTTCCATTGCTCCAGAGGGTTTTCTTTTTCCTGCCCTCCAAGTTGGGTCCAGCTAGTCCTACATCGTGACAATGGCCTTTTCCCTTGATATTATAACACACACCTCTTGACCCCAGGAATACATGACACAATAGGAAAACTCAGAATCTGAGGTAACTTACCTAGGAGTGCCCAGCAGCCCAAGAATTGCTGGCCTGAGACAGGACCAGCCACTTCCTGTGACAAAGGGAAATGGCAATGAAGGTGGTTTAGTGTTCAAGGCTTTTTGCTGCTCTTTAGAGGAGCTCTGAACGGATGTTGGGCGGCCGCCATGTTCATTCATGCTAGAGTCAGGAAGGGGTGGCCCATGATAGCAGGTTGGTTTGTGCCCTGGGTTGTGTTTCTAAAATGTGACAACTCAGACATTGCCCTTTCTAGGCAAGGCTCTGTGGAGATTTCTTAATGGGACATGGAGATCAAGAAGGTAGCTCTTGTGGAGCATGCAGGCCAAAAGCTTATGACTCCCTTTGAAAAGCCAGATAAAGCCAGATGTCTGTAGATTTATTTATAATTTAGAAACATGGGGCTTCACAGTCCACAGTATGACACAGAACTCCTTCCTTGCATGGCATCTGAGTCAGGGGCATGAACCAGTGTCTTATCCCCTTCCTCCCTTTCCTGACATCTTTTTATAGGTGAAGAGGTATGAGAGGGACAGCTTTCCATTTGCTGGCAACATTGGCTGCTCTGGAGAAAGCTGACATAGAGGCAGACTCACTGAGGTTCAAGATACCTGATCAACCAGGATCAAAGAATGCATAGTCCTATGTGCAGTGGACACTGAGCCCAGGCACGCTCACACACTGTCACAGGTGGGCCTGCTCCTGCTGCTCCTGCTGTCCATCCAGCTTCTCTGTGCGTGGCCTGTCCTATTCCACTGTAATGCATTCTCCTTATAGAGGAAGGCTTTTAAATGCAAGCCCCTACTCTTCTGCCCCTTAGTGGAAAGTCTGCAAGGAGCCATGCAGCCAAGCTCCTCTGCCTTCCCAGCCCCCAGCCTGGAGAAATGCCACTCCCTTTGTGACACAGCAAAGCCACAGCTTTCCTATTGCTCTTGGTCCTATGCTTTGCCTAGTAACTTGCTTATTCTCAGGTCTCGGCTGACTGACCACTGGGGATACTCTCCTGACATTGCCTTCTCCAGGCTAGGACTGATGTCTTATCACACACTCTTGGGGTATCACATCTCCCTCTATCCCTGACCCAGGATACCTCAGGGATCAGCAGACTCCCAATTCCTAGTCTGAGGCCCTGCGTCATTCCCTTCTTACCATCATAACTACGAGAACACACCTATACACCAAGACTTCACTAGAGCTTCCCACATGGACCCCCAAATCCACCCACACCCTCTTATTCCAAGATCTCATTAGACCAACCTCCGAGGTCCACCACATGAGTTTTACACCTTTGCACTATGGCAGGAGGAGACTCCAAATGTTTCAGTTTCTGGAGATTCTTCTAACACAAAGACAGTGATGGATGTTCCTTTGTGACTTTCCAACACAGCCTCAAGTAACACTGAATAGCGTCCACTATTTTTCCCTTCTGACATTTTCAATCAAATGTTTCTGTGTGAAATGGTGCCTGGGACTAAGTGCCAACAATTTGTGTGGGTGGGAGGAAACAATGATCAAATGGGAGGAAATAAATGGAAAAATAAAAGAGGGACAATATAAAGTAATCATAATAAGTTTTTTCTTAATCTTTGGAGGTAAACACCACTACCCAATACCATGACAATAGCACTGAGAACCCTCCATGGGTGAAAGGGAGCTGTGGTGAAGCTCTGTGCTACTAGCTCCACAAACTAGGCTCGGGGTCAGCTTCTGAGACACTCTGTATGAGATACTGACCCGTGTCTTGTGCCATTGGTGAGGAGGAAGACAGCGTGCTTTTCCCAAAGGGCGACGATCTCCCCAAAGGATGACTTTTCTCGGGAGGCAGGAGCGATTTCCCGGAATAACCTTTTTGCTCTTTATTCAGCTGCTGCAGCAGATACTCATTAGTTACCACCAGGGATCTGAGGCCCAGGGGGGGAAAAGGCAGTCATGAAATCACAAAAGCAAAGTAGATGGCATTCAGGTCTGAAATGGCTACTAAAGACAAATGCACAATGAAGTAATGCCTTTCAATAGAATTGTCCAATTTATGAGTGGGTTATTTTAAAAGTAGACCTACAGTTCCTTTGTTACAATCCATTTGATTGTGTTCCAGACTGACTGAGGCAATAATATATTTCACATTTTATGGAGTGGTTCTTCCATTCTTTCCAAAGCACTTTCCTGATGAAGTAAGCGGAAGCACCAGGGCACTGGCCTCTGATCAGGCCCTGCAATTCCCACTCCCAAATCATTGCTTCTTTTACTGCCTCTGTAACTAACTAATGATACAAGCCATACTCATTCTTGAAATCTGAATTACCACACAACACTAAAAGCCATCCACATACCAGCACACACATAAATAAATGACATATATACAGCCAGGTGTGGTGGTACACACCTTTAGTCCCAGCATTCAATAGGCAGAGGCAGGTAGATCTCTGTGAGTTTTAGGCCAGCCTGGTCTACAGAGCAAGCTCCAGGACAGCCAGGGCTATGAAGAGAGACCCTGTCTCAAAATAATAATAATAATGTATATATATATATATATATATATATATATATATATATATATATAGTATTAATTACAGCACTATTTTGTTTGTTTTGGGGGTGTTAGTACTAGGAACTGAGTACCTCACACTTGCTGGGTACACACACTCCAACTCATACTGTACTATTTTTGACAGTCAAATACTGTTCATCTAAACTGGTATTAATAGGTAATTTTAAAAAAGGTATAGTCACACATAAGTGCTCTAAGTACGAGGCAGCTATAAAAAGGACTGAGAACTAACTCACAGACCACTGTGCACTGATTTTTCCAGGTAAAAATGTTAGCAGTGGGTAAAGGTGCTTGCAGCCATACTTAACAACCTGGGTTTGATCCTTGGGATGCTCAGGGTAGAAGAAAAGAAACCCTGCACACTGACCTCCACATATTCCAGCATATTCAATTCTCCTTCCCTTATCAAATAAATGAACAAATAAATAAACAGACAGAAATAGATAAACAAATAGAAATGTTAAGGTAGGCCTGGAGAGGTAGCCCACAGAGTACTGGCTGCTTTTTCAGAGAATTCCAGTTCATTCCCAGCACCCACATGGGGGGCTCACAACCATCAGTAACTCCAGTTCGAGGGGATCCTTCAGGCTTCCATGGGTGTCAGGCACTCATGTGGCACAGACATACATGCAGGTAAAGCAACCATACATATAAAACGTTTTTTTAATCAAAATAAAAATGAATAAAAAAGTAACACCTGTGCCCTTTTTATGCAGAAACCATGAGCAGAAAAGCAGCAGCTCCAGCACCCACTATAGAAGGCCGGTGAGAGGAAGGGAAAGGAGAGAGGAGACAGGAAGCAGCTAGACACTTCAGGATTTACCATATTTATGGATTTGACTTTGGGATGTTATAAACATTTTATAAAACTAAACATACAAGACAAACCAAAAAAATTTCCCTAGGAATCAAAGTAAAAATGAAACAAATGAGCTGAGTTGTTAGGAAAACAGAGCTGTTTCATGTGAATTTGGGGTAAGTACTCTCTGAGTGTTCATCCCTGAGAGAGATGCTTTAATGCACACAGTGTGGCCCCAGGCCAGCAACACAGCACAGCAGATTCCCAAACACAGAAATGCAGATTCCACCTACAGGGCCAATCAGAATTCTGGGCTGGGGCCCAGCAATCTGCATCAACAGATCCTTCCTGTAGCTGCCATGCAGACCTGAGAGTGATGGCCTGATAGGATTCTCTTTACTCTGTGAAGCTTGAAATAGTTATAAAGTTTTTGTTGTTGCTTATTATTATTATTATTATTTTTAAAGATAGAGTCTCAGGTAGCACAGGCTAGCATTAATCTCACTATGTAGCAGAGGCTGTCCTTGAAGTTCTGACCCTTGTACTACAACAAATGCTGCGATTATCCAGCTGAAAAGATATGGGGGGTTTATTGCTTTTGTTTGTTTTGTTTTGTTTAAGCAACCCAGAAAGGTCCTTGATCCTCTGGTTTTAATGCTGCTCTACTGCAAATCAGTGGTGAGGTCTGTGTTTAAAGGTAAGGGTTTGCTTCTTGTAAACATCAGTGAAAGTTTTAGCAGAAGTAGATTGGCAAATCAACATTTCAAGAGTTTCCCTTGGACTGCCAGCTGCCTTAAGGTCTCCCCCACCCCCACCCCCATGTGCATGCACCCTGAGGGTGCTTTCTCTGTAAAGAGGTACTTTGGATTCTTTCCCTCTTACTCCCTACTGAGTGCTCTTGGTGAGTTTTCTGTGCCCAATAGCAAACAGGCACTGGCTCCTCATCTGAGGGCCATTGTAATGGCCCAAACAATTGGCTGACCCTAGAGTCCTATTACAGCCACTGAAAAACTAATTACTGAGTAGTTGCCACCCACCAACACCAGCAAAGGGCTGTCCTCAGTGTATTAACGCAGTACTAAAAGCAGCCCTTTGATCCCTGGCTAACTGGCCAAGTGCAGGAGATTTACATACAGACTGCATTAATTTACACAGGTGTGGATTCTAGCTTAAAAGAAAAGCAGAGGAGATAAAGAGCCATGAACACAAGCTCTGAAGGCATCCAGCCAGACCTGCTCCTACCTCTGACTCTCATGGAGAAGAGCAACTGTCTCCTCCAGCCTTTTCAGCTGAGTCAGCTCCTGGTTCAGGCAAGCCACCTGTGTGGTCAGTTGTTGGTTTTTGCGCAGAAGATCATCTACAAAAAGTACAACAGCCAGGAGTGAGCAGGACTCCAAGCTCGTCTCTGAGCAGAGCTCTAGTACTTGGGAACATATTGCCTGAGACCCCTCCCCCAGTACTTACCTCCACATGGCTAACATTCCCTCCCTTGGAGACAGGAGTTATTTGACAATAATATGGCTATGGCAACAGATCTGTATTATAATTCAGCCATGTACAGTTGCATGTATCAGACCAACTTTCGAGTTTCACTAGAGCTAATGACCATGACGCGCAGTACACCATGAGGATCTAGGGACTCACTCTGTACCCAGTGAACAAATAGCCCATATCCCACTTTCTCCATTTTGGTTGGAAATGGTACGCTTCTCTCCCTACCTCGTTTGTGAAACATCGAGGGCTGTGACAATCTATAAAATTAGGAAAAGGTCAGTGACAGCCAAGACAGTTTCAACCTGCCTCTCCAGATGTTCTACCACTGCCTACAGCCATGAAGCAGGTAAAAGCACAGAAACTCTGGTCCTATAAGAGCCAGTTTTCTAGAATAACATTCTGTAAATGCTGATATGCTTACCTTTCACCTGGGATCTTGTTAAAAATAGATTCTGATTCAGTAGGCCCAATACTCCCTTGTCTAACAAGCTCCCAGGTGATGCTACCATGGATCACATTTTGAGTGGCAAAGTCTGGAAGGTAAAAAACAGGACTGCTACAGCTGCGCTAACCCCCAGTAAGCCACCATACAGAACCAGGCCTTATGGCTGAATAAAAGGCATAGTTTTCAAAGGAGGAAGGAGGAGACTGGGTTTTGTGACTATCACCAGGTGGTTCTGAGTTTTTACAGTGGAGGCTCATAGCAATCTGAGTGCCTGTGTTTCCTTATGAAAACTGAGCTAGAGCTTTGAAGTTGAGGGTAGACTTTACAATACAGATTAGTCTATGATGATCATGAAATAGTGGAAATCAATACTTAAATGAGTGTTATTTTTTTTTTCATTTATCACAATGGCAAACCTAAAAAAAAATGTAGCATTTGCAATTGGGCATGCTGGCACACACATTTAATCCCAGCACTTAGAAGGCAGAGGCAGGTGGATCTCTGAATTTGAGGCCAGCCTGGTCCACGGAATAAGTTCCAAGACAGCCAGGGCCACATAGAGAAACCCTGTCTCAAAAAACAAAAACAAGTCAAACAGTCAAACAAAAGTAGCATTTGAAAAGATGGAGTGAAAAGGTAGCTCAAATACGTGAGTACTGATGTCATTAATCAAAACTACGTTTCCCAGGAGATATTTAGCAACATGTAAGAAAACCCTCAAAAATGTCTATGCCAGGTGGGCAGTGGTGGAGCATGCCTTTAATCCCAGCACTCAGGTAGCAGAGGCAAACAGATCTGTGAGTTTGATGCCACCTGATCTACAGAATGAGTTCCAGGACCTCTAGGGCTACACAGAGAAACCCTGTCTAAAAAAAAAAAAAAGTCTATGCCTATTGACATCTCCTAGGAAAATAGACTGAAATGTACACAAATATTTGTGTATTTTTTTTGTACAGCAGTTTTTGACAGCAGCATTATTTATAATAGCATGAATATCAGGACTAATACTCCATTCACCAGGAAAGAAGAGTGGTCTCAGAGAACAGTTTTCATTCTAGGCTTTCCTCCACCTTAGGTCTTTCTTTTGTATATTCAGAATCTCTTTAGAATTTCCGACATTCTCTCCACATTATACAGTCACTATTATAAGCAAAGGCAGCTTTATGGCTATTAAATATTGGAAATAACAATATAAAGAGTTTAACAGACATGTGAGGGGTACTCACACAGCAGGTGTGAGTTACCTGTGCTGTTAAGTGAGGATGTAAAAATCGATTGCCTGGGGTACGAAGGGGAAGATGACCAAGTGTATAGGGAACTTTCAGGAGTTACACAAATGTTTTGTATTTTCATAAGAGTAAAACTTAAGATGAAAAATCTTGTTATATGTAAATTATCTTTTGAAAACAGGGCATAATTCATATTTTTGAGTTGAATGTCTATCATATGGGCGTAAAGTGGAAGAAATAATTCAGAAACACTGATGGCAGTAATTGCTGGGTCATGGAGTTCTGTTTCCTTATATATCTCTCCTGCTGTAGCGACAAAAAGCAGTGTCATTCTAAAAACATCATTCATATATGTTTTACACGGACCCAAAGCTCTAGGTGGTAATTCAAAACAAATGCCTGCATTACAATTCTTTGAGGCAAAAGCTAGGGACCTAGCCTGCGTTGGTTTCCTAGGATCACAAAAATAAACAAAAATAAATAACTTTCTGAGGTAAGTTCACAATTCCCAAGAAATAATGGCCAAAGAAAATCAAAGGCAGCCATGAGAGCTTTGGCTGATGAAGCTCATCAAGCAGGTTCATTTACTAACAATTGTGCGCAGTTTCGCACATGGCTTTTCCACCTTACCGTGTGTCTGAGATGGGTGCCCACTCGAAACCGAGGTGGCAGCAGCTCCCTCCAACTGCTGAATTTTTTCTGACAGAATAAGGTTTTCCTCCAGCACTTTGACCAATTTTTGCTTCAAACTTTCCTTTAGACAGGAAAACAATGCACCATACATTAAGAATCTGGATTCCTGGGTAGTGCCTTTTCCTCTAGTGATGGAATTGAGCTGTGCGACCTCACCAGAGGTTTAATTCATAGTAACGCAGTTCAAGGGCAGCATCATGCTGTTTACGCATCATCTCAGTCTTGCTTGTGGGTAAGCCACAGCTCTCACTGAAGAGTCGTAGCTTTGCAAAGGGCTGGCATTATGAGTCATTAATCTGAAGTTTCTAGGGTTGAACATGGTGCATGAAAGCCCACTGAAGCTAAGAGAACAGGAACTGAGGATTAAGAGTTCCTTCTTTCTCTCCCAAAGCCAGTAGCCGGATACTCAAATATGGCTGCTGGTCTGAGGCACTCTGCTCCAACAGAAGAGACAAGAGATGGCACTTGCCTTACCGTTGGGACCACGATATAGCCTTCAACAGTGTGACCCTGCACGCTTTCCACAGCGTCTTTGTCTGCTTCCCCACCTTGCCTTTTCAAGTATCTCTTTAGATTCTTGGATTTGGGCTAGGATGAAAAAGTCATCCTGAAGAAGCTGCATGTTCCCATCCTAACAACGTCTGTATTCCTGGTTTGTTTCATCTGACTCTTTCTGGTTCTGGAGAGTCTAGATGTCCATGGTAGTGATGCTCACTGGGGCCTTGTGCTGTTCTAGTCATGATGCCACTATGTCTTTTCTAGTAAAGGAAGAGGAGGAAAGAAAGATAAGGGCCATACCACGTCATGAGGAACCAGCAGCCCTGCTTCCTTTAGCTCACTCTCCCTCCGGTGGAAGGCTTTCCCTGCCTTGTCTTCAAGCTGTGAGCAGTACCACTGCTGAGGAGGTGCAGGCACGACCAAAGACAGAAGCAAATCTCTGGCAGGACCTGCCAAAAATTCAGGTTGGGTACATGGGCCAATATTAAAAACTAAAGCACCGAATTCCAAATCAACAGCTGCCAGCTCTGTAATCTAATCATCGCCTCTGACTTGAGTTTTAAATGGCTGTATGGGGTGCTATTGCCTGAATCTTTTGTGGAGGGTAAGTCACACCCCTCCTGGATGGACCAGCGATATGCTGGGGAGGATTTCCTGCAAAATAGCAACAGTGGCTCAACATGGAAAGGACGGCTGATTCTTTCTCCTCTAAGACCCTTTAGAATAAAAAAAAATACTAGCATATATAGATTATATATAATATATTTTTTATCATGACAGTTTCATACATGTATATAACATACTATTGTATTCACACATATATTACCCTCTTCTGTGATCTTCCCATGTAATTTTTTAATTAAAAATTTGGTTGGAGAGATGGATCGGTAGATAGAAGTATTTGCTGCTCTTGAAGACTGGAGTTCAGTTTTCATTACCCATGTCAGGTGGTTCACAACCTCCTGTAAGTCCAGCTCCAGGGAATTTGACACTCTCCTCTGGCCTCTGTTGGGGCCCCTCCATGCATGTGTACACACTAATGTATACATAACTAAAACTATAATCTTTAAAGAAAGCTTTTTAATGCCGGGATGGGGCTTGTGCAAGCTAGACAGATGTTCTACCACTGGACCACACCCTCAGCCCTTAGAAATTAAAAATAATTTTTCTTAGCCCAAACAACTTTCAAGTTTCTAGTGTCTACTTAAAGCTTTACTAACAAGTAAAAGTTCCTTGAATTCTTTCTCCATTAAATAACAAGTAAGTACCTGGAGCCAACATGTGTAAAAACTGTTTGCCCATGTTTCTAAAAATTAATCCCTAAGAGAACCCAAGAATATTAACTCATTTAAGCTTTTAAATCAACATTTCAACAGTCTTTGCAAAGTTCTGATGATCAAACCTAATTTCTGTTGTATTCAATACTGGCACTTCCAAGGATCATAAAATAGTTTTGCAATTATTACTGTAACTACTCTCTATTACATATATCTGATCATGCAATATATTACCAAAGAACACACATGAGCACACACAATCACAGAATAGGAAGAAGAAAACAATTGCTACAAGGCAATTGGAAAAAAAGCTGATTTTAAAAAAATAGGGAAGATAAATGTGACAAAAATACAGATTTGTTGATTATGGTGTTTCTGGGAAAATTTTGGTTAGTGATACACACCTCCTTGCAGGCTAAGGGAACTAGATGGTTGTTATTAAAAACAAAAAACGAAACAATAAAACCCCCACAGAGCAGAAGCAAGGTCCTGCCCTCCTAAATGCAGGTAACTATGCACTTACCAAGAAACTTCTTGTTGAGGATGAGGGAGCCAGAGCCATTCCAGTATTTATCCACCAGCTCTAGCAGCTGCCTGAGGACAGTGGCCACATGGGGGGTTCTGGCAGAGATCGGGGGACTATGGTTTCCTGGTAAACCATGCAAACTGCCCAGGTCACTAGAGAGAGGCTCAAGGAGACAAAAACAAAAACAAAACCCGGTACCATAATTTTTTTTATTCAAAGAAATCATAGATAGATCTATGTAGTAAAATTCACAGTTCCTTCTATTCATTCTAACTTGATGTGCACATTACATATTTAATATGTAAGTCTATCTCCTAATTTTTTTCTATAGAGTCTTGTGGACTTCAAAAAAGCTAATACAGGCTGGAGATGTAGCTCAGTGGTAGAGTGCTTGCTTAGCATGTGCAAAGCCCTGGGTTCTATCTGCAACACACACACACACACACACACACACACACACACACACACACACACACACTGATATAAAGACAACCAAATTATTTCTCAACTCTTGGCTCCTTTGATGTAAAAAACTAAGGATGATTAACTAGCTAATGAAACACAATACCCGTGACAGTGGCATGAGTTGAGTCACATGTGTGGTGTATGATTGGTAGGGAACAGCATTACAACAGGGATAAACATGCTCAGAAGATTTGAACCTAACACTGATCAGTACAAGGCAAGGACTGTGGACATATGAAGGACACAAATGGGATCATTTGAGAAGTTAACCTGATTTGGGTTTAAAGCTTAGAAAGATCTAGTCATAGCAAAAGGCTACTTTATGAAAATTTATTAAAAATTTTTATTGTTAAAGACTTTCTTTAACTTTTTTTTTCTTTGTTGGTTGAGACAGGTTCTCATGTGGCCCAGGCTGGCCTCAAACTCCTGATCCTCCTTACCTCTGCTTCCCTAGTGCTGGTGATATACTCCACCACGCCTAGCTTAATGTTTTTTTTTTCTTTTTAGATTGAGAATTACAGATTTCAAAAACCGAAAAGCATATATGTAATTTACAGACAAGGACCTAGTATGTGTGAGGGCCCTGAGTTCTATCTCAAGCACCCACTAAAAGCAAATAAGTCTCTTTATGTTTATATTAAGTCAGCACTTTGAAAGCTTTCCATATTAAGAAAACAATGTCTAACAAGAAAAAACAGAAATTTTAAAGATAGTCCAAAATTGAGATTTTAATATAGAAATAGAAGTGAAGTTTTTTTTTTTTTTTTTCCTTAGGTCATTTTAGTAAACAGCATCAGAAATGTCCTAAGTGATTCCTGGGACTTCACTGTGAATATATTATCACAGTTAGTGTTTTTGTCTGATATATATGGTCATTAGTGGCTGAGAATGTAAAACAAGCCAAAAATAATAAAAATACTACAAGACTGCCCCCTTTAGTGCACAAAAAATATGACTGTTTCTTTTTTTCTTTATTTGTGGTATGCGAGATTGTGCCTAGGGCCTCATATACACTGGGTAAGTTGGAGCCTAGCTCTCACTGCAGGGACCTGGAAACAGTGTAGGAAGGACTCAAAGGGTCAAGAAACAGACAATTTCTGTGAAATCATCTTAATGTGCAAGAGATTCCCAACAACTAGAACTTAAAATGACTAGAAATAGTTTTTGATCGAATACTCTGCTTCCTTACAGGGCTGTAAATGACTGACACATGATTTACTTGACAGGGGGCCGTGGACTGTGAGACCTGTGGTTCCTCAAACTAGACTGAGGCTTCCTGATGGCAACAAGATCTGGAGAAAAATTAACATTTAGAAAAGACAGTTCTTGAGTCTCGGAGTCACTTTCGAATAGAAATCCTCTGGACAATCTAATTAATTTGCTTGTGGATACTTTGGGGGAAAAAATGGACAATCACTTGAGTTTCTGTACAAAAAAGCAAAATAATAATTTTAGCTTGGCATGGTGATGCGTATCTTTAATCCTAGCCCTGAGGAGGCTGAAGCAGGCAGATCTCTGAGTTCGAAGCCAGTCTGATCTATATATAAAATGAGTCCCAGACCAGCCAGGGCTATATAGAGAGACCCTGTCTTTAAAAAAATAAAAAAAAATCATTAAAAAAAAACCAAAACTATTTTAAGTAAGTTAGTTACTTGTGACAACTTCTTTATTGCTTCCTGTTGGCAAACTCTTGCAGGACATTAAAGTGTTCCTTACCATGTACCATGTTTATGCTCTCACGGTAAGTCAGGGACAGTTCCTTTATGATAGAAAGCTGAAAAAATAGAAAGGTGGCAGTAGGGGGATAGCTTTTTCTAAGGGCAGAAGAATCACAGGCGTTAGCCTGGTAATGTTGGTCATAGGCCTTTGAAACCCCCCTAGAACTTCTAACGCTATTGGAGAGAACTACCCCGAACCCCAAGAGTAGCACATTCTGTTCTTGAGCCTTTGTGCTCCTTCTATACAGACAAACAGGTCAGTACTTGCACCTCGCTGCCTGCGGCATCTTGGAAACCTCGCTTCAGGTTCAGGCTGGCAACGATGTTGTCCTTCCGCTTGAATCCTCTCCTTGACGGGCTAAATGACCTGTTAGTTGGAATCTCTCTTTTTTCTGGAGTCCCAGGAGGCAACAGCAGTGTCCGCATAGAGTTTCCTAGAACAGGGTTGCTTGGGAAAGAACCAGGTACTGGTACAAAATCCCTGAGGCTGCTGGATAACTGTTGTTCTACATTGGCCAGCAGAGCAGGGTCACTGTTGAAATGGGTTGTTGCATAGAGATCTGTGGAGGAAACAGCCTGGGAAGTGAACCTGCTTTCAGCTCTCTTATACCCTATATCTGTCGCTCGCTAGTCATGACAACTCCTCTTTAGCATACACTGTTAACTCCTCCAACCCTTTTTTGTCTCCCTCTATCTGACAAAAGCTCAGTTCTGACTAAACGCAACTCTACATGCTCCTGTCCTATATCAGGGCACACATCTGTTCTGACCTTCCTCACTTTATGACTGCTGGATTATTTGGACCTTTGTTACTGCTCTGTAAGAAGGGTCCAAATAGCCAAACTTTGACTACCATCTCTTCCCTCCTTTGTCTCACTGAGCAAACACAGTCAAACAAAAGGTCCATGCCACCCCCCACTGCTTTATCAGCTGACTGACCATTTATCAGCTGACTAACCATTTATCAGCTGTCTGAATACACTCTCTCTGGGGATGAACTGCTGGTGCATCATTTAAGGGCAGCTTCTTTACCAGCTGACCAAATTTCATCTCTTCTGTACCAGGCAAGGAGGTTTTCCTTGCAGCTGTTCTGTTTTTTGCTGTATCATCAATACTCCCTCTACTGATGATTTTTATCAGTCTTCTATGACTCCCTCCATCCCCTCTTCCAATTCTCTGCTCTCTCTTACTCCAAAACTCCTTGAAGGGGTTGTATATACTTAGTATTCTATCGCTTCATGTCAAGGTTTTGTTTGTTTGTTTGTTTTGTTTTTTTAGCTCACCTCAATGGAGCTTTTATTTTAATGTATCCCCTGAAGCTATTCACTAATTCCTTTGTATTTCCAAATAACTGCCAGTCCCAGCTTCTTCCCTTCAGCCTCCAACACAGAACTATCATGTCCTCCTTGTTGTTGTTTTGTTTTGTTTTCAGAGACAAGATTTCTCTGTGTACTCCTGGCTTCCCTAGAACTTGCTCTGTAAACCAGGCTGGCCTCAAACCCACAGAGATCTGCCTGCCTCTGCCTCCCGAGTGCTGGGCTCAAAGGTGTGCGCCCATGCCTGGCTTGCTTCCTCCTTAACACACATTATTCACTAGGACCCCAGTGTAACAATCCTTGGCTTTCTCCTCTTCTTTAACTCTCATGGTAGTTTGTCTTCATCTATTATGTCAAATTATTAGGTTGCAATCTTGGGGAAGTTCTAATCACATCTCAAACTAAAGATATTGAAAACCAATCTCTTGATATTTATCTTAAAACTTGTTTTTCCTATTCAATTCTTTATATCAGTGAACATTAACTCCATTCTTGTGGTAGCTTAGGGTGAAACCTTGGAATCACCAATTCTTTCTCCCAGTACTTTATTTCCAGTACACTGGCAAATCAAAGGGTAATTTTCTGATAATATAGTGACTAATCTGTTGTCTAGTCACTGCCTCCACTGTTCTCTCTAGTTGAAGCTATAAACTTTTATCTGGATTTTAACCTCTGAAATGACTTTTTCTATTTCCTTCCTTGCCCCATTTCATTCCCAGTTCAGCACCCAGAGTAATTCTTGTTCTGTGCATGTCTCTCTCTTTCCAGATCTCATACATGTGTAGGTACATGTTTACATGTGAACATATAGGCATGGAAGCCAGAGAATAATAATGATGGGTGCTTCCTCAGTCACTTGGCAGGGAGATGGGGTTTCTCACTGAAGCTAGAGATAACCTAATGGCCAGGAATGCCTGACTAGAAAGCTCCTGCTGCCTCTGTCTTTCCAGCACTAGAGCTGCAGGTGCCACAACCACACCTGGCTTTTTATTAGGGGATCCACGTTAAGATCCTCATGTCCGTGCAGCACTTTACCAATGCACCATTTCCCTAGGCCCTCAGAGGAATTCTTAAGTGAGAACATGCTACTTCTTTTTTTTTTTTAATAAAGTTTTTTTTTTTTTCCAGTTTTTTGAGACAAGGTTTCTCTGTGTAGCCTTGGCTGTCTTGGACCAGGCTGGCCTAGAACTCACAACAATCCTCCTACCTCTGCCTCCCAGAGTGATGGGATTACAGGCTTGTAGCACTGCGCCCGGTTGAACACTCTACTTCTTTGCTACAAATCCTCCAACTACTTCTGATCCCACCCAGAATAAATGTTTGGCCATCACTCTGACCTCATTTATACATGTCGTTTCCCTTACTAGGGTCCTTGTTCCTTAAATGTGGCCTTAGGAACTCTCTGAACTTAATATTTCCACTTTAGAACGTTCTCTCTGAAGTTTTCTCTATGGCTTGTACTTTCATTCCATTCACGTCTCATGTTTATGATGCTCCTTCAGAGAAGTTTGTCCTGACAATTCAATCTGAAACATCACTTCTTATTACTTTTTCCCCTTATTATTTTTATATACTGTGCTATTTCCCATCATGGCATTTATAAACTGACATATTTACATTAACTTACTACCTTACCTTGTTAGAATAAAAGTAGACTTAATATTTATGATTTGGTTTTGTTCTTGACCTCAGAACTAGAGAGTTTCTGGCACAAAGTAGGTATTAAATGAGTTTTATTGAATAAATTAATAGCTGAACACCAGTCTCTATCATTTACCCTGAAACTACCTTCTGAGAGAAAATTTTCCCTGTTCCGTTCTCAGTGCCCAGGGTAGTTCTTGTTCTCTTGTCCCTGACCCCCATACATGTGTATGTATGTGCACATTCACATGTGACCAAATATGTAAAAGCCAGAGGTTGGTGATGGTGATCAGAGAGAAGCAGATGAAGCTGGGAATAGATTGGGATGTTGCTTAACAATAACATGCAGCTGTGAGCCTCACATTTCTATGTTTTTTCTCTAACTTGTCCATCAGGTTGCACTTATACCCTCCAGATTTCTAGAAGCTCATGAACCACAAATGACCCCAACATACAATTTAAGAAATATGAATGCAATTCGAGAAATGATAGTTCCAAAGTTAACGAGTCTAGGAAGACTTGCAAACTGACAGGAAGCTATTACCTGAACTAAGCTTCAGAAGCCTTTCTGTGCTGGAGTCGGGGTTGGACAGAGATGTTAGTAAGTCTCCACAGGGATGGGATGAGGTTGCCTTTACATCATGTGAAGGCTTTATGCTATAGTCTCGGTAGCTCTTGTTTTTTTGAGGCCTTTTGACAAGACTCCCATGCAGGAGAAGAGTTTGAGAATAATGATTATCATATTGGTCCAGGCAAACATCAGGAGGTAATTGACAGGGAAGGATCTGGGTAGAATCCCCCACATCCAGGCATTTACTCAACCCGACGTCATGGGTACATGGATACGCATCAGGTTTTGGTATCAAGCTTTTTTCTGGAGAGGAACCTGAAGACTTGGTGTCTAAAAAAGATATTCGGTATCCATCTCTAGTCATCTTCTCTGGAGATCGGACTGTGGACTGACGAGGCGAGTAGTGTCTGAATTCTAATCCTCACCAAGGGAAAACAAAACAAAAAGTGATGAGAATTCATCTTGACCAAACCAGGTACCTCTGTTCACTAAGCCAGGATAGGGTGTTAGAGAGAGGTTTCCAGTTTCTAATAAATAATAGCATGATGACGAAAGGACTTTCACAAGGATGATGACAAGATACACAGGACACGCTGGAAACAATAAAGAACTGTCCCATTCTGGAGACAGACTTCATGTTAATAGAATACCCAAAGAAGGTTCTTTTACATTGTGATTTCAAAGCTTTCTATGTACTGTTTATGCTTTCGTCTTTTGAGACAAGGTTTGTCTATGTAGCCTGGGCTGGCCTGGAATTCACAACCCTCCTGCATCCTCCATTTCCCAAGTGCTGGGATTACAGATATGTAGTATCATGCCTGGCTTCTAGACAGTAATCTCATATAAAAAGTTGTGTACCACTGTGTGACAATACTTGTGGCTTTATGTATTCAGATTACAGACAATAGTTAGCCTATGATTTCATAGACTCCTGGCCTTTGTTCACTCTTTAGCTCCACCCAGAGATTCTAGTTCACTCAGTGGGAACTGATACCTAAAGCCATTTTAACAGCAGGGAATGCAAGATGTATGAAAATCCCTGGCCTAGGTGCTGACTGAATTCTAAAGCATTTCTCTCAGCCAGCTCTATTTGCTATCCAATACATCTCATGGGTTAGCAGACAGCAGACAGAGGATCAGGCTCTGAGCTGCTCAGAACTTTATTATGCCTGAAGGGCTACCTTAGGAATAGAATGTTATTTCTGAATTTGTCACATTAACTCTTGTAACCTGGATGTTCAGAAAAACCTAGAAAGCAGCATTGCTTTACCCAGTGTCAACATATATAGCATGGCAAAGGCCATAGAACAATTTCTTTATTTAGGTAACAAGAATAACTTAGGCATAAAGAATTGGGTTTTTTTTTAAGTAATAACAAATTAGATACTTCAAACCATCTTCATGTTGGAAACATGTAAAATTATTGGATGGTACAAATCCAGCAAAGAGCTAAGAAGATAGTGAGAAATTTCTAGGCCCAAATTGGGAAACAAAACACCCTTGAAAGGTATATTAGTATGTAAAATTACTTTTGCCCAAAGTTATTTTAGGGTGATAGGGACAGAAGTAAGAAGAGCTATGACAACTGCATTTCATAGCACACACATGCTGTAAGAAAAAAAAAATGTGGGCAGGACACAGTGTTAAAGACAAAGATAACCTGGAAATAAGCCATCTCTGATAATGACTTGTTCTGGGATTAAAGCAGTCCCAGACTGATAGTATTCTAGGAACTTGGCAGAAGCAAATGGAGATTTATTCTGGAAAAGACAAACACATGTAAGACTAATAAACATTGTTCAAATAACCATTCAAATATAAGAGCACAAAAATACCCAAAACAAACAAAAACCAAAGTATTAACATGAATGAAAACCAGTAAAAAAATCATATAGACCTACAAAGATCTGGTATTATAAATATATGCCAGATAGCTATAAGTCACCTACGTTTATTCTGTTTATGGAAATATAAAACAAGCCTACATATTATTTAGAAAAAAATGACCCAGACCAAATCAAACATATAAAACAGAGAAGAAAAAATTGAAATTAAGAATTTAGCACACAGATTTAATATTGAGTGAGACATAGCTAAAGAATATATTACTAAAATGAAATGTGAACTTTCTGGGTAGTGGTAGTGCATGTCTTTAATCCCAGCACTCAGGAGGCAGAGCAAGGCAGATCTCTGAGTTTGAGGTCAGCCTGGTCTACAGAGTTCCAGGACAGCCAGGGCTACACAGAGAAACCCTGTCCTCAAACAAAACAAAACAAACAAAAAACAAACATACAAAAACTAAAAAAAGAAAAGTGGGCCAAAAGGATTATCCACAATGTTGATCAAACAAACAAAAAAAGATTAAAAATTATTTAAAAATGAGACAAAGAAACTGAACATAGTGGTGCACACTTTTAGTCTCCAGCACTTGGGAGGCAGAGAGAGGACAATGTTGGAAGCCAGCCTGATGTACAAAGTGAGTTCCAGGACAGCCAGAGCTACATAGTGAGATCCTGTCCGGAAGCCACTTAGAGAGAGAGAGAAACTGAAACTCTCTGATAGATTTATTTGATTAAGAGTTCCAGAAGAAAAAGAGACAAAGAATAGTGCATAAACCAGTTATGTTTTTCAGAACTAATGGGATATAGTTCATGAATTTGAGAAGCATAATAAACATCAAATGGGAAAATATGGAAATCACAGTGAAACTGCATAAAACCAAAGACAATGCCCTAAAAGCAGCCATGGGGAAGAAAAAGTAATTAATCCCCAGCTAACCTCTCAAAAGCAACCAGAAAAGAAATGAGACACTGGCATAGCGGCAATGTTCTGAAAAGAAGCATCCGCCAATTTAGAACCCTAAACTCATGAAAAAATCCCTTTTAAGAATGGTGATGAAAAGGAAGCATTAAACAAACAAACAAAACAGAGTTCATCACCAACAGGCCTACTTGAAAGGATGTATTTATAAGCTGGTGGAAAGGATCTCAGAAGGGATGGGAAGCGTGGGCTAAAGAAAGAAATACAAATAAAGATAAATTTAAATGAAAATTGTCTTTTAAAAATCTTGTGGGGTTTAGAAAGTTGAATGGCAACCCATAGGAACTGTCCTGGGGGGAGTGCTTGAGCAGCACATGTGAAGCCGCAGGCTCAATTCATGAAAACAGGTCTGGCGGAGGGTGGGAAACTAAAAGGAAAAAAGTCCTTTATGGTCTTTAAATTACCTCAAGGAAAATTTAAAAGAAGAAAAAAATTAAGATATTGACCATTTTTAAATTGTATAAGCTAAAAACATACTGTCATTTGGGGGATAATGCTAAAAGTACACAAACGGTATAACTTAAATCTGGTAGAGAGAGAGAAACAGAAAAATAACAAATCTGAAGAAAGGCAAGAACAGTAAGAAAGGGAAACAGTGAGGCAGTAAACATTCAGTCTTCCAGCAGAAGAGCCTCGAGGATCAGTAAGCTTCTGGGAAAGTCACTGGGGAAAACAGAAGGGTCAGCTGACCAGAAGATGCAGCGCTTTGGCATCATCATCTCCCCAACCTCATCCCATCCAGTGAACAAAATATTTACCGCCTTCCTGGTGGGGGTCGCTTGTCTCCCTTCTTGTTTCTTGCATCTAAAAAAAGTTTGAAATTTTAGGAAGGAAGGCATCTGTGAGTGTTCAGACATAAGCTCGCGGGACTGGGAGTTCAGGGTACTTTGCGGTACCTAACGACTTCCAACCTTAGAAGGAGGGAAACACCTTCCCGCAGGGGTCCAGGATTGAGCCCATTTTAAAATGGTCACAACCGAGGGAGGTTCCAGAGTTGCTCAGAGCGGGGAAGGAGACTCCTTGAAAACACTATCCTTAGAAGGTATGAGACGTACCTAACACTGAAATACTGCATTTTGCCTGCAAACAAATTAGATAGGGTCGTTTCTTCTTCTTCCTTTTTTTTCTTTGTTCGTGAGGGGTGAGAGGTGAGAGGGGGTGTGGGGATGCGCATGTGAGCTAGCGATGAGAGGTTGATGTGGGCTGTCTTCCTCTACTGCTCGGCACCTTATTTTTTGACTCACGGCCTCTAATTGTAGCTAATCTGTTTGATTAGTCTGGCTGGCCGGTGAGCCCCGCCCCTGGGAGCCACCTGCCCCACTTTGTCCCGCCAGCACCGGGGTGCATGGCTTTTACACGGGACTCCAAATCCAGGTCCTCATCCTGTGCAGCACACACTGTGCCCACTCCACCATCTCCCCAGCCCAGATCATTTTTTCCAGTTTTATCTTATCCAGTTAAAGGACTTTTCTGTTTATTTCATTTCCTGATAAAGCTGAGTACCAGCTACACGAACTAACAAGATTTTTTTTTTTTTTCTTTTTCTCCTGAGACAGGATCTTGCAGTGTAGCCTGGCTGGCCTGAAGCTCATGTATAATCAGGATGTCCTTAAACTCGGTACAATCTTGCTTCTGCCTCCCACGTACGGGGATTACGGGTGGGTGCCCATTGTGCCAAGCAATTGCTGGAGTTTGAAGAAGCCGTGAGTTAATCTGAGGCATAACTAGGCAAGAACTGAAACAAAAAGAAAGCCGTGTAATAGGCATTAAAAAAAAATCTTAAAATATTCCGTGTCTTGGCTAGGGCTGTACATCTGTGTACGGTGCTAGCCCAAGGCCTTGGGTTCTATTTCAGCTTACGCTGGTACCCACATATACAATTTAGGAAGCTAGAAAAAAATGTACTTCTCTATGCTAAACTTAAAGATTATAGTAAAGTATTCAATTCTTTTTCCCCCCTCTCACCCTCTCACTTCAGGAATTAATTGTAGAGAAGGTCTTTTTTTTTTTTTTTAATTGAGAAGTACTATTTAACTGTAAATTGGAATAGACAGTGTCTCTGTTTTCTTAAATAAATAGCAAGATTAAAAGAAGAAATGGTAACAGAGATAGTTTCCCAGCACCCGAGTAGGCTCTCCAGAAAAAAACAAACAAAGAAAAACAAATGCTAACCCATCTTAAAATCAGAAGGCTTACATCACCCACACATAGTGGGAAACCCTTACTATCTCTTCACTAAAGCAGATGTGAACTGATTGTTCACATCTCCATTAATCCTCCCTCTGGCTGACTGTTTTCTTCAGTTCTGTTGCTTACAAAATTATCAAAGAAAAAGACAAGGGAGAAGCCATCAGCTCCGTTTTAGGTCATATTTGCTCACACGTGATGACTTTAACAAAATGGTTACATGACTTCTGCTACCATTTTTCCTCTGAAAACTTACTTGTTATTTTTCCTAAATCTTGCATTATTTCTAAGTTCTCATTGTCTGCCACACCTGTGACACATTACCCATATTCTTCTGTTACAAAAAAAGAGGCAAAAAAGAGGCAGCTTTCGGGAAAAGTCACCTGGATATGTAAGACTTTGTAATTAAAAGGGAGAGGGAAAATGTGAGAGGTCAGAGAGCTAGAGATGGAGGCATTTGGTAAAGAGAAGGAATTTTATAACCAGCTCTGAACTGTTAACAGAGGCGTCCCTGTTTGAGGCCCAGTACCTCGCATTCAATGTGCTAAGGTTACATATATAAAGACAAGACTACATTATTAGCATTAGAGATTGGCTAGTTAGTAGATCAGCAGGAGAGTGAACATCTTACCTGTGTCCCCAGTGGAAAAACATCTATTTTCTGAGCTGGTGTGGCACTGCCTTGGGTTGCAGAAGTTCTGCTTAGGGAATCCTTTATTTCTCGGTTATGGAAGGGAATAAAGAATCCTTTGTTTGAGTCTATATCAAAAGGAAAGGAATACAATGAAGTTCTGACAGAGTTCAAAGGCAGTATGTCTCATAGAAAGATAAGTCACCTGACTGGGGGTTACTTCATGCTGTCACTGCTCAGAAACCATATGAACTTGGGCAAATTGCTTCAGCTCTGAATTCTCTCACTTGGTTAGTTCAACAGTGATGATGAAACTTCTACTACCTGTCTTTCAACGTTGAAGGGAGGCAAAAACAAGATCGTGGATATGAAACGGTCTCATGAGTTCTGAAGTGCTCTATAGACATTCAGAAGGCAAATAGTATTTTGCATACTTCCTATTGAGTAAATAATGAAGTCTGACATCAGCTGGACAGCCTCTTTCCATAGCAGATGCTGAGAACAGACTCTGGATCTATAAGTATCTCCAGGGGTCTAATCAGACAGTACTGATCATCATTTCAAGCCTGGCTCTTTCTGCCTTGATTTCCTTATGTGTAAGAAGAGAACATCTAATCAGAACCTGTTTCATAAAGAATATTAAATTCTTAGGTCTCCCGGCATTTCTTGCATATGATTAGAGAAATAATTAAAATAAAAAGAAAGTATAAAATGTCTAGTTGTAGGCACTCTGGAAGATCCAGTCTGAACTAGGTAGCACACAGCTGTGATTCCAGTATGGGAAAGGATGGATCAAGAGGCTTCCAAGCACGGCCTTTATAAGTTCTAGAGTGGCCTCCATCTTCTGGAGGAATTTTTGAGAATGAGTACTTTGTATTGGTTTAGGGAAATTCTTTTTAGCCAGATTGTGCAAGAATCAAGACAGTTTCAAAATTTTAGGCCTTCTTCAAGCAATGCGTTCTTCTACAAGTTTTCTGGAAGTAGAAAACTATCAAGAGCCAGTGGGAATGAAAACACAGAATGACAGCAGCCCTAAAAGTCCATTTGGGGCTCTGAATTGTCTTCTGAGTTTGAAATGTTATCTGTAAATACAAGATAACTCTTCTATCACTGAGTTTGGTAAAAATTACCTTTCTGAAAATAACTCTCAAACTTTGTGTTCTCTGGTAGCTTTCACTGTGGCACTGTGGACAAAACACAGCAAAGCAGAGACTGGTGGTTGCAACCTGAGCATTGGAGAAAAGTAATCTTTTTGGGTTCAGGCTCCTCTCACCCTGCAGAAGATGAGTCTTTCTGCTGCAGCACTTAACACTGGGTTCCAGACTCACGGGTTCTTTTGCTTTCCTTCAACCTCATTTTCTATTTAAGCAAATCCTCCATAATCTGAGCTCTTTGCCAGATACTAGCTTACCTTCTGGGCTTAAAGATAATTGGACTCTAAATGATCTAAAATCAAAATATCTTAACTCTAGTCTCTGTCACTCTCGGTTGGCCTTAAAGATAGGCTAGCATGTAGCCCAGGCTAGTCTCCAGCTCATTATGTATCTGGAGATGACCTTGAACTTCTGATCCTTCTAGGTTTCAGGATTGCAGGAGTACACCATGATACCTGGTTTATTCTGATTTCCTCTTCTCTCTCGTCTACAGACAGGGTTTCTCTGTGTAGTCCTGTCCTTGAACCCAGAGATTCACCTGCCTTTTTAGTCCTCTAGAGTGCTGGGACTAAAGGCATGTGCCACTACCACAGGGCTCTGATCTCTTTTTATGTCCAGCCCTAAAATTCCTAAAGATAGTTCCCCATAAAAGCACAAATATACACAAGCAGTATTTTCTAAGTCAAACCTCCTACCTTCACTTCCAAGGCTTTTCCTTCTGGCAACTCTCCAGTCTGGGCACTGGCATTTCCCCTTCAACTAATCCCTCAAAACAGAACTTATGCACACTGAAATCTCAATCAGTCATCACATTGCACAGAATCGCTCTTCTTGGGGTGAGTGAGAGGTGAGTTTTATTTTAATTGAAATGTAATTACTATACCATTGCTTTCATCATTTTACATAAAAGCACTCATTGATTCTTAGTATATTCACAAAGTTAAGCAACTATCACCATGATCTCACTCCAGAATATTTCATTACTCTAAAAAGAAACCCCATAGTTGTTGTGGCCAATTTTCCCCTTTCCATCTCCTCAAAACCATCAATACACTTTCAGTCTGTATAAGCTTACCTCTTCTAAGTATTTCATATAAATGGAATCATACAAATGTGGCCTTCCTTTAGCATGATGAGTTGAAGATATAGTCTGTAGCATATCTCATCAATTCCTTCCTTCCACTATTTCTTACGTGGATATACAATACTTTGCTTTAACATTCATAAATCAATAAGCTTTTTGGCCCATTATGAATAATGCTGCTTTTATTACTATGTGAGTGTCTGCCTAGACACATGTTTCTATTTCTCTCAGGAAACAAGTAGAGTACAATTTCTGGTAACTCTGTTTAACTTGAGGAATTGCTAAACTACTTTCCAAAGATGTACATTTTTTCCCTCTCCTATTAGCAATGTATGAAGGATCAAAATTTTCCGCATTCTTGCTTTTACTTATCTGTCCTTTTGACTCTTGTAATCCTAATGTGTATGAAGTAGTTACTATTTGCATTTCCCTGATGGTTAGTGGTGTTGAATATTTCATGTGTTTGTTGGTCAGATGCATATTTTTTGAGAAGCATCTATTTATTTTTTCCATTTTTAATTTTTTCTTCACAATTTATTCATTATATATCCCAAATAAAGCCCCCTCCATCAACTTCCCCAGTCCCGCTCTCCCTCCCTCTTCCCCTCATTCCCCTCCCCTAGTCCACTGAAAGGGGGAGTTCTCCACTATTGCCATCTGCCCATAGCTTGTTAAGTCTCAACAGGACTGCCTGGATCCTCTTCCTCTGTGGCTTGGCAAGGCTGCATCATCAGGGGCCAGTGATCAGAGAACGGTCAACTGAGTTCATGATAGAGGCAGCCCCTGACCTGATCACACAGAAATCCACATGGAGACTGAGCTGCCAATTGTCCACAAGTGAGCAGAGGGTGTAGGTCCTCTCCACAGTTGGGGCATAGTCTCTGCAGGACCCCCTGGGCCCAGATCTTTTAGTTTTGTTGGTCTCCTTGTGGGGCTCCTGTCAACTCCATTTCCCTCTAATCACCCCTCTCTTCCTCCATAAGACTCCCTGCACTCTGCCCAAAGTTTGGTCCTGAGTCTCATCTGCTTTGAGCCCCTGTTGGGTGAATCCTTTTAGAGGACCCTCTATAGTAGACTCCTATCCTGTTTCCTCTCTTCCTCTGCTTCTGATGTCTGTCCTGTTTGCCATTTGCTCAACTATGTTCATAGCAGATTTATTTGTAATAGCCAGAATCTGGAAACAACCTAGATGTCCTTCAATAGAAGAATAGATACAGAAATTGTGGTACATCTACACAATGGAATATTACTCAGCAATTAAAAACAAGGAAATCATGAAGTTTGCAGACAAATGGTGGGAACTAGAAAAGATCATCCTGAGTGAGGTACCCAGAAGCAGAAAGACACATATGGCATATACTCACTAGTAAGTGGCTATTAGCCATATAATATAGGACAGCCATCTACAGACCTAAAGAAGCTAAACACTAAGGAGCATTTTAGGGAGGGTGCTTAAGTCTCAGAGAAGTATCTATTTAAATCATTTGCCCACATTTTCATCAAGGCGCTCATCTTTTGAGAAACAGTGTATTGATTGTGGGTGCCAAGATGAGCATGTGGTGGTCAAAGGGCAGCTTTGAGGAGCTGGTTCTCCTTTCGGTTGTCGAGAGGCAGGGTCTCCTTTATGTCGCTGTGCTGTGCGTACAACCCTCAAACTTCCATGTGATTACCCTGTCTTCACCTCTCATGCTGGAATTCCAGATGTGTGTTTCCACATCTTTTTTTCCATGGGTTCTGAGGACCCAATTCAGGTCATTAAACGTGTGAGCCAATGCCAAGTTGATCATCTTTATGCTATTGAGCTGTAAGGGTTCTCTGTATAAAATGGATGCTAGACCCTTGTCAGATATATGAGTTCCAGACTTCCTCCCTCATATTGTGGGTTCTCTCACTACTTTCTAGATAGGGTTTTGCTATGTAGCTCAAGGTAGCCTAATGGTCCTCTGGCCTTAGCCACTAAAGTACTACAATTACAAGTGCACATGTGTTTCCATGCCCAACTGCTCTTACTTTTAAATTTTCATAATGTTTTACTTATTATGTGTGTGGAGGCATGCATGCCAGAGCATACATATGGAGGTCAAGAACAATTTGGAGGAAGTTGGCTCTTTCTTCCACCAAATGGGTCCCAGGGATGAAACTTGGGTCATCCTGTGTCTTCTTTATCTGCTGAGCCACCTTGCCTGTCCTGCTAAAAAAACTTTGATAATTTAGTCTGACACGCTTATGGCTAAATTTTATAATTGTCACATCAGGAAAAATTAGGAAAAGGTAACAGTTTGCATTATTAGATATTTTTATCTCATACTTACTTTTTCTTCAGATAGAAAATAAGTTGAATACTTAATCCCCAAAAACAAGTACAGTTGTAACATTATTGTCCAGCCCACTTTTATACCCCATCGAAAGGTAACAGGACCATGCTGATATGGGGACAAAGAACTAATAGATGACTACTTCCACTGCCAGTGATCACAGCTGAGGAGGGAGGTGTGCTTCACATGTTTGGCTGAAGACCCTACAATCCATAGATGGAATAGAAATGCACTGCCCTGATCCCCAATGGTAAAGGGCTTGCTGCCCAGCTATGGAATGGCACTTCAGCTGTTTGTTCTTTAAGGTCCATATTAGATACAGATAACCACTCAGCTACTGATGTTCCGTTGACCCAGCCAGGCAAGAGAGAGACATTCTGACCTGATCCATTTCTGGTTTGGGTCAGTTCTCCCCTCCTTCTGCAACCTGATAGTCCCCTGCCCACCAAAAAGGTCATCATATCGATCCAGAACTTAGTGCATACACCTTATTGGCACAGCACATTATAGCCCAAAGCTCCTAGACTCAACAGTTGGTAGAGACATTTTGAAGAGCAAGTCTTATTCCAGAGCAGGTGTTCTTTCTCCTCAAACATTTGTCCTCTTCCTCTCACTGTGAAACTGTAATAAGCATCTTATTCAGTTCCAAATTTTAAAAAAAACAAAACCAAA